AGACATGTAATAAATTTCATTTTGTTGCCGACCCTAAATTCATTTGCTTATTTGTATTTATTTATTTAAGAGCAACAAGTCACATAAAATCTGTACGGCGAACCTTCACACACCAGTTAGTTCACTTGTTCCAGTACCTGTTCTGACATACTTGTGGTCAATACCATTTCCTAATAAATTATTTCACAGTTATCGTGAATAAGATATGCCATTACGGTACATTGAGTCTTGAAATGCTGACCGATTACAAATGCATTTCGTTATTGCTGACACAACAGAACTCCATGAATTGATGCCGTCATATTGTGTTGTAAGACTGAACGAAGATTGAACCTTAAAACATTAAATCAACACTTCGTTAAAATTGTAGGATCTAGATCTTTATTCGCATAATAAGTAAAAGGACAATGTGTAAAAAGATAGCATCATTAGTTGTGATGTCCATGTAACACGTGTGAAACAGCCTGACTACTAATAGTTACTACATAGGTTGGGATGAAGGCCTAACATTTGTAGTGTAACGGTCATGCAGTGTCACACAAATAATGAAATACTGTGATATTAACAGTTTTAATCTATGTATACCATTTCAAAAAACTCATAATCAATTAAATATATACATATGAGCAAGGTACCTCCTTCCGATTGTGTACCTGATTTTCACGTGACTCTAAACGTAACGCTTGAAGATTTCCTTTTGAAGTATACACACCCACCATCAACCTTTTTGTCGATTTCTCATATAAGTTCCGTAATGTCGTCTGTGTTAGTATAAACTCATTTGCATACATGGTACACAGTTTCATTTAAAACTTCAATGCAACTAATATAACACCTGTTAAGAGGTATTTATGTTTAAAATAACAAATTATGAAGCAATATTTTCATGAAAAAGCTGAAATATCATGAGCTCTTGAAGCCATTTGGTTCATTTGCAACTATATTTATTTCTACTGGTAACCATGGGTTACGTTCCCGTAGCGCTAGTCGAATCGTAGGCCAGTCATTGATGAGTGATTTATCAGACTTGAGCTCGGAGACCCGTGCAGCAATGGATATATAGGCATCTGCTGTAGACTACTATTTGTACCTGCATATCTGATAATTACAAAACAATTACATAATTTATTTAATATAGCATACTGCATACTATAATCACATACTCCTAAAATAGTCAATTAATATTCATATCAATCGGAAAATGTGTCAGTTAACGTCCGCGGCTAGAATGAATACCCGATCTATCTCACTTGTATATCCCGGTACCTTAACAATTCCGCAGTATGAATGAATACTTGATCTATGACACTGAAGTATTAAAAGTTGATATGTGAATTTAGTAAATTATTCAAAATTTGTGTTCTGTTAGGCATCTGTCAGATTTTTTATCATAATGTAAATGCCAGAACGAGACCAGCTAAATACTGACATCTATAGACCAGTGGGCAATTATGTATTGACCAGCAGCCAGAGGCATACTTTTGTTACTCTGTCTACTATATATGACCATTTTTTAAAATTCATTCCCTGATTATGTAAGTAATTACCTGAGTCCTATCTACACAGTTCGTAAGAAGGTCAGTGTATACTTACATTGTTGAAAACAACTTTATTTACGATAATTTCCACGTATAAGTCTATGTTAACTACTCAATGTTTGTTAGCCTGTTACCTAATGTTTAATATCACTTTGTTCCGCGACATTTTAATATAAATACTACCGTGAAATTAATCATTATGTATAGGTTCCTGAAGGCATGACAACCCGCACAGCGTCTGGGCTTAATCTTTCCACTATTCAACAAAGAATCTTTTAACACTCGTGTGTTATAGTACCTTAGATTGTCCGCGGCTAGAATGAATACCGTTGTTTCACACTCGAGTATCCTGGTACCCTACCTTGTCCGCGGCTAGAATGAATACCCGTTCTATCACACTTGTGTGTTACAGTACCCTACCTGGTGCGCGGCTAGAATGAACACCCGGTCTATCACACTCGTGTATCCCAGTACCTTAGCTAATCCGCTGCTAGAATGAATACCCGTTCTATCACACTCGTGTATCCTGGTACCCTATATTGCCCGCGGAGAGAATGAATACCCGCTCTACCACACACGAGTATCCTGGTACCCTAGATATCCCGCTGCTAGAATGAATACCCGTTTTACCACAGTCGTGTATCCAGGTACCCTAGATAGCCCGCTGCTAGAATGAATACCCGTTCTACCACACTCGTGTATCCAGGTACCCTTCCTGGTCCGCAGCTAGAATGAATGAACGTTCTGTCACACTCGTGTATCCAGGTACCCTTCCTGGTCGGCGACTAGAATGAATACCCGTTCTACCGCACTCGTGTATCTAGGTACCCTAGATAGCCCGCTGCTAGAATGAATACCCGTTCTACCACACTCGTGTATCCAGGTACCCTTCCTGGTCGGAGGCTAGAATGAATACCCGTTCTACCGTGTACTCGTGTATTCTTTAATATTTCCTTTCCTTTTACACACATATATCTGAACCAAAACGAATAGTATGCTTAAAGTTCATACAGGGATGTTTTTACATTAATTTCCCTTCTTCCTTAATAAGCGGTAATATGTACATTGCTACATGTATGTCTTTGTTAGATAGATTGAAGAGATAATTTCCTGTCGTGATTGTGAAAGCATGATTTACTATCCGGATTTTTTTTCATGGCTATCGCATTACAGTTGTTGAAGTTGTGAACAAAATGGATAAAATGTGACACATGTTAAAGAGACCTAGAAACGATTTTTTGTGGTTTCCTGGTTTTACTACCGCTTTGTATAAAACTTTTGTCCCATTACTCAGGGCTGTATGATGATGGAGAGAATATAAACAACACACCAATCCCAAACGTACACTCCACAGCTAAGTCTTGTTATTTTTTGTCGACATCACAATATATACCGTATTCATCAATGTTGGTCATTTGTCAGTATAAAGTAACCAATTGTTGGATTGTGGCTTAAACTCTGCAAAAGAAGCAAGGAATGTGTTTATATAGTAAATCGTTTGTTTCAACAAAGAATGTCCACTCATTTTGTAGACATGATACCAAATCAATAATAAAATCTATGAAAGTTGCTATTCCTACATATAATTTAATACACATTTAAAACCGAGCTAAATGTAAGTAATAGGAAAGAATCATTAGATATAGATATCTATAGGGAAAACAATTCTCAGACACAATGATTTTTATGCCAACAATAAAATGTTTAAGTAATGTATGACAGTGAGTATAGAGAATACACAAAAATTTAGATATACAACTACAATGTAATATATATGTATGACAACAATTTTATGTTGATTTACTCAAATTAGAAAACAGTACACATTTAACCAATATGTAAACTTGAGTACAAAATAAATCACTCAAATTTGAAAAAAGTGAAAGGTTGTCTAGAACGAAGATCAATTCTGAGAGCAAAATTCTTTTTTTACTAAGATAAGTTAAGGTTTAACTACTATATATTTATAGCAATAGATATATGATTATCAACAGAAATCTGAAAAAATAAGTACGAAGTACAAGGTCATCCTATATCTAACAGTTTATGTTGTTGTTCACACAAATTCAAAATAGTAAAATTTTAACTTAACCAATTACAAATTCTGAATAAAAAATTAAAATTTACTGATTAAAAAGGTGTTGCTTCAAAGTACAGAGCACAATATGACAATTCTTTAAGATCTGCTACTGTTTTATACATCACCCATTTATCAGCTGGGAATTCAATTGTAATAACAAATCTGTGTGATTCTGAAAAGTTTTCTAAATATAGATTATTATTATTACAAAACTGAAACAAAAATGAAAAGGTATTATCTGGGGACAATTGAGGTCATTGACAAAGTTATGTCATACCCAACAGAATTGCTGACAGAGCCAGAAAACAAGAGCATTCAGTCGAATCGAAGAATTTGGAAATGTTTGACACAAACTTGTTCGACAAAAAGTGCATTACATGTACACACAACTGACGGATATTTATATGCGACTCAGTTTGAAATTCTTCATATCTTAGATCGAATCACATTTGTGTTGCAGAATGCCAGCCCTCGACTGCCATAAATATCAAACATAGGAAAGATTAAGTCAGTATCACAATAGGTTTTAAACGGAGAATTCCTCCCTATTCATCAAATTCATTTTAAAATTCTGAAACGTAAATGTATGAATATACTATCCATATCTCTAACGCAGCTTGGCATCATTTACTACTGTTCATGTTATTATTACATTTTCTGACTGCCTGATAGTGATGTACACGTGTAAGTGTTTATATAACGACTTCATCATTTTAATTTATATGCGTATATATCACCATTCTAGTCTGAATGCATATCTTAAAACATGCACTGTAATGACATAATTGTTCAGCGGGAGGAAGGAAATAAGATGGAAATCCACACAAAAACTTCCTGGTCTGTTTGTCCTTATTTAAAGTTAATACCAGTCTATTATACACCATCCTGTTTGTTTTATTGCAATAAGAAACAGCGTTTGGACCAACAACTGGACAATCGTACTGAGTGACATATCAGGATATCTCATTAGATTGTTACCACATCTACTTGTATATTTTAAACAGTACCAGGTACCAAGATAAATACACACACACACACACACACACACATGTATTTTCCTTTTGTTATTAAGGATAAAGAGGCGATCATAGCCAAATGCTAATCGCTACTTCGGTATGGAAAGGTCTACTTAACTCACATTTTTATTCCAGACTCTGTACAATGGACTCCTGGTGTGGGAAGCTGCTGACGTCCGTAGTGGTCCTGCCCTTCATGGCCGGAAATTGCCGAACACGACGGAATGGATCCCGGTATTATGACTGTATTATCTCTTCACGTGTTTTGTTCTTGGTCGTCTTTGCTATAGTGATAGTGTTCACCGCCAGCAAACGGATACCTTCACACACACAAATTCGTTTGGGATTTGTTCTTCTTCTCCTCACATTACTCATGATTACCGCTATGACGTGTATCTTTGTCCTTGGATACCTGGTTAATAAACATGGCCTGCAGTCCATTGTTGCAGCAAAACGAAACACAAGCACTCCCAAATTACAGGTAATATTCCTCTGGATGTTTGGCTTAGCAACAGTTTTTTATTGTGGTTTCCTCCTGGCCAAGCAAATTGAATGTTCCATATACATATCTGGAGGATATTTCTGGAACATAGTGCTCTTCTTCAACACTTTATTGATCATATGTCTTTTCACACAGATGATTTTCATAACGTACTTTTCACTATACGAACTGGAACCAACTGATCTAGTTAATTGTACAATGTCTATGCTGCTAGCAGGAAATGTTTCCATTTTTGTGTACGTCAACATTATGGGCAATACTCTATCTACAATTATAGATATCGACCCTGACAATGATATAGCACGCTGTTTAAAAAACAACAACACCATGATCGTTCTTCTTGAAAAATCAAGCTCGATTCTGCGACCAAATTTTACAGAGTTTGTTTTGCTGTCCTGTACGATTCTTCTGGAAATTTGGTCTCCCACAAAAGTACAACATCCTAATGGTGAAGTGCCGTACATAGAAATAAGCGACATAAATGATTCAGAGAGATCGTCACTTCTGTCATCTGAAACAACGACGGAACACTCGAGAAATGAAGGCAGACGAACGGCATGTCAGTTAATTACCCTGATTATAAGTATTGCATTGGGACTTGGGCAAGTTGTTTGTTATGTTGCCATGGCGATGGATATAGGAGACGTAAACAGTATGAGATATGTCTCTGAAGTGTATGAATTAGTGTTAAAGGCTATGATTGTTCTCGCAATCTTCATTGGTTTCTTTTGTTTAGTTCAGTACTGTAGTCCTGACAAATCTTCGCAAGGTCTGAAGACATGGGAGCACGTCTATTTACTGTCGGCGTTTGGATTATTTATGATGCATATCTGCGAATGTATAGGCGGTGACGTATCTTCAGATATTTCAGCAAAAATGCTCATGTCCACAAGCATCATCAGCATATTCCAGGACTATCTCCAGGTTGTCTTTCTTTTGCATGCTAACCGATGTAAGAAATGTGACCCTCGGTCAAACATCGATTTGCTTGAATCAGTTCTGATATTTACAATGATAAGCAACTTTATGTTCTGGTTCAACGACAGCTTTCTTAAAACTGAGTTTCCAGTCAATCGGATACTGGAACATAATGATTTTTCCAAAGACTTACTAAATGTTGTGTATGAAATTTTACTCCCCGTGTCTGTCTTCTTTAGATTCACATCTTTTTTGGAATATTATGCAACCTTCGGAAAATACAATACCTAAACACAATTTCTTTTTTCTTTTACATGTATTTTATTTTCATTGAAGAGTAACGATGTTGTATTTTATTCATTTAATGATTATCTAGATAAAATATGTACGATATTTTGTTCAGATTTGTCAATTCTTGATATACCAGAATGCTTCCCGCCACAGTTACCATTTTAAATTAGTTTTTGTAATGTTAATGGGTATCTTATTCACACATATTGGTGTGATGAGACAATTTGCAATATTTATCAATGTAGACAATGTGTCTATGTTATTAGTGTAATTGAACAATTAGGGATGCATGATGAAGGAATGAGCCCTCTTATTAGGTATATAAGGTATGTTCTAGTATTGACTTAAAATAGGGGGGGGGGGGAAGTAAAGAAAAAATAAATACTTCCGACCTACCTACCCTACTTTTTATTAGTGGCAACACACTTATTTTTTCATAATAATATCAGTTATAACAATAACATTAAAATACTGAATACACACAATGACATTTTAGATGCTGTTAATGTTCAGGTGGATATATATATTGAGTATTTTAATGTTGTTGATGTTGTTAACTGACATTCTATGAAAATTACCAGTAATTTACAAGTTAAAAATGTTAACTGGTTACCCTTAAGGTGATAAGATTGATCAGAAGCATCTTTATGAGTTATTCAGTATTATAACAAGCCCCGAAACCGAGCCCCTGTGAATGTACATATTTAAGTTGTGACTAATCGGAGACTGTTTATCTTTAACATACACAAAGCGATCGGTGATTTTTTAGAAGCTACAGATGCTAAAATAATCTTCTGTTTTAACGTGTTTCTTTTCATATTTGAGTGTGCAACTCTTGCAACGTGAAAGGAATCCTGCTGTACATGACCCCTCCCCCTCCCAACATCCCGGTCCCATCCCTGTTGTTTCCAAAATACATATAGTCATTAGAATTTTGTAATACAGAAAATCAAAACGAGTAATTATTCATTACAAACCTAATGAGAAAGAAACAACAAACAGAAGTAATCCAACAACATTGCATTATTATCGTAAGTTGTCTCAGTTTTGTAGTTAGTCTTGAGAAAATGGGCACTGCAGACGACACTTGTTTTTGAGGGAGTCCATCGCTCATATTTTCTCACCAAAGAATTTCGTCTGATGACAGATACCCATAACCTTTCAGCTTATCTTCACTTGGGAATGAATGGCCCCCTCCCTTATGGCAGTGGGGAACACAACAACACGTTTTCGGCATATCGACAGGTCTAGATATAGTATATCTACTCTTCACGTGAGCAAAACACCAGGACCGTAACAACTAGAGCGCCATCTAGTATATCATTCAGGGGGTATAAGCGAGAAGTTATTGATATTCACTCAAATTTGAAAAAGTGAAAGGTTATCTGGAACAAAAACAAATTCTTTTTTTACGAAGATAAGGAAAATACAGATTTAACTTCTATATATGTATAGCAATAAATATGATTATCAACAGAAAACTGAAAAAAAAAATTCTGAAAAGCGTTCTAAATATAGATTATTATTATTATCATTATTATGCAATTATCAGCAAGTTCAAGTTTAACAAAACAGATGCCCTTGTCATCAGATACATAAAAATATGTTTATTGAATTATATGGCTAGCGCACCTCCACATCTAGATACAGACATTTCTTTCGATCACTTTAGATTTTTATTCAACCGCCTCTTAGGCTTATAAATATAAATATAAACTTTATTTATTTTACAACAATTGCGAAACAAGTTATGTCAACTTATACTAATCACTCTTGTTGGCCCGGATGTAAGTGTGCGAGGGGTCTTATTGTGGGAGGAAACCGGAGTACCCGGGGAAAACCCACGTGGTCGGGCAGGTGACCCCCTTACCTTTTCACGTCCGTTCCGGAAATTGAACCCCGGTCGACTAGGTGAAAGGCGAGTGCGTTACCACTGCGCCACCCGACCACCATATGTTCTTAGCACCACTAAAGAGTTTTCACGAAAATCAGACAATATCTAAAATTTGGCAAATTTTGACCACAGCTGATCGATCAGATAACCAATTGATGGCCGAATGAAAAATGGACTACTCCATTTTGCTCCTAGTGCCACATAATACATAGATACCAATTTTCACGAAAATCGGAAAATATCTAAAATTTGGGCAAATTTTGACCACAGCTGAACGTTCAGATGACCGATCGACGGCCGAATAAAAAATGGACTACACCATTTTGTTCCTATAGTGCCACATAATACATGGATACCAATTTTCACGAAAATCGGACAATATATAAAATTTGGCCAAATTTTGACCACAGCTGACCGCTCAGATGACCGATCGATGGCCGAATGAAAAATGGACTACTCCATTTTGCTCCTAGTGTCACCTAATACGCTCAAGTGATGGATTGGAAAAATTCAAGTGGCCTGCACTCCGCCTCGCATGTATGAATATATGTGTAAAGTTTTGTTAAATTCCATGCAATAGTTTTTGAGAAACGCGTCGGAAACCTCGCCGATGGAAGAAAGTGGAAGAAATAATAATAATGATAAAACTAAGAAGAAGAAGAAACGGAGCAAACACAATATATACATATATACAATATATGTATCTTACTCTAAAACTTTGTATTGAAAAAGTGTTATTCACTTGTGTTTATCTTGTAAAATATTCAACATTGTTTATTCTTATAACACTGATGATGATAGAATACAGATTGATATCCAGCCAATGTTGACTAATGAGACATCGTAACAGAAGTATATCCAGATTTATTCTTAAACTGAAATATATATTTGGCAGTTACTTTCCATTATACTAATGCTGATTATCTTTTCACAATAAAAAAAATGCTTGATGAGGTGTATATATTGTACAAATGCCATCATTACATAAATAATAGCATATATATTTCAGTGGTAAAACGTGTCAATGAAAACTGCAAAATACTTGCAGCTATTTATTATTTACTTAGTTATCAGAATCTGATTTACCAGTACAATTTACCTTTACAGATAACCTTTACGTCATTTCTGCAATATAACTCACTATCATTACAACTGACCACATGTGTAAATATGTTTTTAAGCAGAGTTGGCGTTCAGGTAATCCACCATTTATTATAAAGCTAAAAAATGCCAATTATTGAGATGGTATTATCTGGGGACAATTGAGGTCATTGACAAAGTGATGTCATACCCAACGGAATTGCTGACAGAGCCAGAAAACAAGAAGATTCAGTCGAATCGAAGAATTTGGAAATGTTTGCCACAAACTTGTTCGACAAAACGTCTATTACATGTACACACAACTGACGGATATATGTGACTCAGTTTGATATTCTACATATCTTAGATCGAATCAAATTTTGCTGCAGAATGCCAGCCCTCGACTGATGTAAATCTCAAACATATACAAGGAAAGATTAAGTCAGTATCACAATAGGTTTTTAAAGGAGAATTCTTTCCTATTCATCAAATTCATTTTAAAATTCTGAAACGTAAATGTATTAATATACTATCCATATCTCTAACGCAGCTTGGCATCATTTACTACTGTTCATGTTATTATTACATTTTCTGACTGCCTGATAGTGATGTACACGTGTAAGTGTTTATATAACGACTTCATCATTTTAATTTATATGCGTTTATATCACCATTCTAGATTGAAAGCATATCTTAAAACATGCACTCTATAATAACATACTTGCTCAGCGTGACGAAGGAAAAAGGAAGATGGAAATCCCCACAAAAACTTCCTGGTCTGTTTGTCCTTATCGTAACTTAAAACCAGTCTCTCACACACCATCCTGTTTGTTGTATTGAAACAGCGTTTGGACCAACAACTGGACAATCGTGCATCTACTTGTATATTTTAAACAGTCAGTTACCAAGATAAATACACACACACACACACACACACACACACACACACACACACACACACACACACACATATATATATATATATATATATATATATATATATATGTGTGTGTGTGTGTGTGTGTATTTATAGTAAATATAAATAGTATATAGTAAGTTACACTTTAATAATCGGTATGTATTTTCCTTTTGTCATTATGGATAAAGAGACGATCATAGCCAGAAGCTAATCGCTACTTCGGTATGGAAAGGTCTACTTAACTCACATTTTTATTACAGACTCTGTACAATGGACTCCTGGTGTGGGAAGCTGCTGACGTCCGTGGTGGTCCTGCCCTTCATGGCCGGAAATTGCCGAACACGACGGAATGGATCCCGGTATTATGACTGTCTTATCTCTTCACGTGTTTTGTTCTTGGTCGTCTTTGCTATAGTGATAGTGTTCACCGCCAGCAAACGGATACCTTCACACACACAAATTCGTTTGGGATTTGTTCTTCTTCTCCTCACATTACTCATGATTACCGCTATGACGTGTATCTTTGTCCTTGGATACTTGGTTAATAAACATGGCCTGCAGTCCATTGTTGCAGCAAAACGAAACACAAGCACTCCCAAATTACAGGTAATATTCCTCTGGATGTTTGGCTTAGCAACAGTTTTTTATTGTGGTTTCCTCCTGGCCAAGCAAATTGAATGTTCCATATACATATCTGGAGGATATTTCTGGAACATAGTGCTCTTCTTCAACACTTTATTGATCATATGTCTTTTCATACAGATGATTTTCATAACGTACTTTTCACCATACGAACTGGAACCAACTGATCTAGTTAATTGTACAATGTCTATGCTGCTAGCTGGAAATGTTTCCATTTTTGTGTACGTCAACATTATGGGCAATACTCTATCTACAATTATAGATATCGACCCTGACAATGATATAGCACGCTGTTTAAAAAACAACAGCACCATGATTTTACTTCTTGAAAAATCAAGCTCGATTCTACGACCAAATTTTACAGAGTTCGTTTTGCTGTCCTGTACGATTCTTCTGGAAATTTGGTCTCCCACAAAAGTACAACATCCTAATGGTGAAGTGCCGTACATAGAAATAAGCGACATAAATGATTCAGAGAGATCGTCACTTCTGTCATCTGAAACAACGACGGAACACTCGAGAAATGAAGGCAGACGAACGGCATGTCAGTTAATTACCCTGATTATAAGTATTGCATTGGGACTTGGGCAAGTTGTTTGTTATGTTGTCATGGCGATGGATATAGGAGACGTAAACAGTATGAGATATGTCTCTGAAGTGTATGAATTAGTGTTAAAGGCTATGATTGTTCTCGCAATCTTCATTGGTTTCTTTTGTTTAGTTCAGTACTGTAGTCCTGACAGATCTTCGCAAGGTCTGAAGACATGGGAGCACGTCTATTTACTGTCGGCGTTTGGATTATTTATGATGCATATCTGCGAATGTATAGGCGGTGACGTATCTTCAGATATTTCAGCAAAAATGCTCATGTCCACAAGCATCATCAGCATATTCCAGGACTATCTCCAGGTTGTCTTTCTTTTGCATGCTAACCGATGTAAGAAATGTGACCCTCGGTCAAACATCAATTTGCTTGAATCAGTTCTGATATTTACAATGATAAGCAACTTTATGTTCTGGTTCAACGACAGCTTTCTTATAACTGAGTTTCCAGTCAATCGGATACTGGAACATGATGATTTTTCCAAAGACTTACTAAATGTTGTGTATGAAATTTTTCTCCCCGTGTCTGTCTTCTTTAGATTCACATCTTTTTTGGAATATTATGCAACCTTCGGAAAATACAATGCCTAAAAACATTTTTTTTTCTTTTACATGTATTTTATCTTCTTTGAAGAGTAACGATGTTGTGTTTTATTCATTTAGGGACTTAGATAAAATATGTACGATATTTTGTTCAGATTTGTCAATTCTTGATATACCAGAATGCTTCCCGCCACAGTTACAACTTTAAATTAGTTTTTGTAATGTTAATGGATATTTCATCTACCCATATCGATGTGATTGGACAATTTGTCAATGTTTATCAATGTGGACAATGTGTCTATGTTATTAGTGTAATTGAACATGGTACATGATGAAGGAATGAGCCCTCTTATTAGTGGTTAACTTGTGGAGTCGGTTGTTCAATCAGGAATTCTTTATGGTGACGAGCTCTGGGGACCTCCCATTACTCGCTCGTTGGAAGAACTCCGTATTACTCAAAGACATGCAGCTGGAAGATGTCAAGGTTTCGTGAAAAGATCCCCGACATTAGTTACTATACGAGTGATCAGACTAACTGACATCTGCGGTGAAGCTGAATTGATGAAGCTCATGTTTTGGAACAAACTACTCAGCAAGCAATGCATTAGAGATGAGATAGGAGAGCTTATAAAGTTGTCCTATCGAAATGTAAATTGTGTGAAAAGCGCACTAATCACATAACCTTTCACTTTCTTGTTCAGTGCCCAGGTCTATCTATCAATCAGGACAAATTATTAGATTGTCTCGTTAATTCTTAGATGTTCACGAATATGTTTTCTTTGCCAATTGAACAGACCATTAAAAAATCTAACTTTATTCTCGATTACAAAAGCGATATAACCCTTGATAAAAGTGTTGGTCGACTCTGATGCTAAGCATTGCAAATCATGTACATAATAAAGAGAAATTAATAACTGAATCAAATTGTAAAATAAAAAGATTGACAACATAAAATTGTACCTGTAAAATCTTTAGTATGAGGGATAAAGAAAGTATGTCTATGTATTGTATTCATGTAATCGAGCAATTTGTGTATGTGTAATAATTTGGACAATTTATCTTTGCGTAATAAATAGTTCCTTAAGATTTATTCGTATTTGAATTTCATCGTCAGAAATATTTATCTAGTTACCTTATCATTTAGCAATACTTAAAGTACCCCTAAACAAATAAAGTTGATGGCTGTTACTCAAGAATCTTCCTCTTTCAGATTTTCAAATATTTAAAAAATAGGAGGTTAATATTTCCGCATTATTCGATATCCACTTACACTGAATTGTGTTTTCATGTCCTTGCTGGAAAGCCTCTTGTGTCTTATAGGTTTCATAAAATTCATCCTGCGACTCAATATCTGTATCTTTTACAAGTACAAGAATCACGAACCAAGCGTATACTGCAGTTCACTTCATTGTTAAGCTGTCAGCTTGTATATAATTCTGAATTTGTATTACAATGTGCTAAGCTTGTGTGTTTCTTTTGTACAATACTTTATATATCAAATGGTATAGTTGATTGTTCATTTGTAGCTGAGACGGAGAAACTACATGATAGTTTGATAATTCGTTGATAACGGGGTGAGAACACCACAGGGATGGTTTGTGGCTAAAATGGGAAAACCACATAATAGGTTGATAAATCGTTGGTAACTGGAGTAGGAACACCACAGGGATGATAAGGCTGATATTTTGTTAATAGCTGAGGTGAGAACACCACAGGGATGATAAGGCTGATATTTTGTTAATAGCTGAGATGAGAACACCACAGGGATGATAAGGCTGATATTTTGTTAATAGCTGAGGTGAGAACACCACAGGGATGATAAGGCTGATATTTTGTTAATAGCTGAGGTGAGAACACCACAGGGATGATAAGGCTGATATTTTGTTAATAGCTGAGGTGAGAACACCACAGGGATGATAAGGCTGATATTTTGTTAATAGCTGAGGTGAGAACACCACAGGGATGATAAGGCTGATATTTTGTTAATAGCTGAGGTGAGAACACCACAGGGATGATAAGGCTGATATTTTGTTAATAGCTGAGGTGAGAACACCACAGGGATGATAAGGCTGATATTTTGTTAATAGCTGAGGTGAGAACACCACAGGGATGATAAGGCTGATATTTTGTTAATAGCTGAGGTGAAAACACCACAGGGATGATAAGGCTGATATTTTGTTAATAGCTGAGGTGAGAACACCACAGGGATGATAAGGCTGATATTTTGTTAATAGCTGAGGTGAGAACACCACAGGGATGATAAGGCTGATATTTTGTTAATAGCTGAGGTGAGAACACCACAGGGATGATAAGGTTGATATTTTGTTAATAGCTGAGGTGAGAACACCACAGGGATGATAAGGCTGATTTTTCGTTGATAGCTGGGCTGTGAGAACACCGCCGGGACGGTACGGCTGATAATTCGTAGGTAACTGGGGTAGGAACACCACAGGGATGATATGGCTTGTGTTTCGTTTAAGTCTGGAGTGGAAGCATCACAGGGACGATAGATGATATTTCGATAATAATAAAAGGTGTGATAGGTATGGTTACAGCGGTGAAAGGATGTTTGTGTAGATTTTCAAAAAAATAAATCTGACCGTTTGAAAGATAAATTGCTGGGTCTACAGAAGGTTCCTTATAAATCATTTGGAAATAACCATGGGCCACATATTTGAAAATCAAGCAACAGTTTTCTGAAAAGCCAAGAGAAGGAAATTAACGAACTTATGAAACAGGTAATGTCACGAATCATATCACTACTTATCGTACACTAACTCGTCAGATAAGCTTCTAACAACAAGTTCAATTAATCGATTGAGTAGTGACCGGGATCAAGGTCCACATAGATAACTATGGGGAATGGAGCACCCAGTGTAATACCCACTTTCTGCGAGAACGCATTTGAAGAGACTGAAGACAATATGGTAATGCCTACTTAGTTTAGTTTAAACATATTTTATTGCCAAAAAAACAAGACAAATGGATTGGGCACAAGTCATATGAAGATGCCTACTACTGACAACCCATAGCCAACATCTGCCGCAACCGGAAGTGACAACATCGCATCAAGTAAGAACAGTGCCTTACTACGGATATGTGTAAAATGGTCTTATCACCACAACCACAGCAAAAAGGCATCAGAAACTTAACAAACAGAATAAAATACTTTGGTATTCCGTGGAAACTAACAATCAATAAAAATTATTACAAGTGATGTCAAAAGATATAATTAAATAGGGGTAACTGTTTCTCATCTTAAAGTACTACGCAAATATCCTTTTTCCTGGTAGTACATTGAAGTTAAACATTGGCAGTTGTGACTATGGCAGAATGGAAAAGAAAGACGACTTTTTGTCAGAAGTCTGGCGAGTCTGGAATCCATATTTAACACGCTAGGTATTTTGACCAAACACGATTCTTTGTCTAGTTATCGTTGATGATTGTTATCTATTTCCAGACAGTTTTGTGTCTTTCATTTTTGATGTGTTTGCTGCATATATCAGCTTGGAATGTCGGGGAAAGAGGAATGGTAATGTATAGAAAGACTTACATGAAAAGGTATTGGACAAGTCAGACATATGTATGTTATGTGAACACTGATGAAATATAACTAATTCCCTTTGTGTTAAATCAAAAGCACAGCGATTTTAAAGTTAAAGCTCACAGGTATAGCGGAAATTGTAATATGTCTTGAAGAAGCTCCAGTTGGGTTTGTATCCTCGTGAGAGAGAACATTGTTGTTAAAGTCAATTCTTACAAACATTAAAAGCATAGGGGTTTTACTGTCTTCAACTAACGTAACTTATGATAAGATATATCAAAAATGATACTGCAATAATATGTGGAGGTCTGAATATAGGCTTCTAAGTCGACGAGACAAAGTCAAATTATGCTTGAAATGCTTTGTGAGAGAAGCATTGTATCCCTGTATCTGTCTCTGACTTGCGCTAATGTACCGAATTGTTTTTCTAGAAACGAACACAACAAATCTGAGGCCTTCGGATAGTATCCTAACCACTAGCCGGTAAGATAGTTTTGATGGTACAGATATACTACGCGTGTTTATCTGCGGAGATTAAAAACTCCTGCAACCTCTCTACAACCTCTTTAACACAGAAAAGGAAACTATTGTACATCTATTTTGAAAATGTGATCTATTTCAAAATCCAATTCAAAATGTAGATATGTTGTCGAAAGATTTATTCATACATTTTTTTCATTAAATAAACAAAAATACATTTTGGTAAGATCAGTAATAACAACATTTCAATATATATAATTGACTTTATTTAATTATCCGTTTATTTATTCACTTATTTAACAGGTGTAATGTCCGATGTAATGACCTTTCAGCAGACGAGATAAAGTTGACAATCAGGTTATTCTGTATATAAAAGCATATTTACTTAATATTAATTAATTAATCTAGATGTTAAATCCTTATTCATCACGAAGCTCAGAATGATAGTAAAGGAGAGACACTTCCTGTTAAATGCGTTAAAATAGAAGAAAATGGGACAAAAGTCAATCAAATATATAAATTGTTATATATATATTACCTACAGTATGCACAGATAAAATAATGCATTCATAAAGTTGTAATTTTCATTACATCAGCTTCCAGTCTCTTACATGATCGTCGTGCTTAAGCGCACATGTTTGTAATACCACACCTACCAGCCATTATCCCCTTCCGTCTTTCCATCTCTACAAAATATCTTTTTAATTTTTTAGTTAATTTATTTTTACTAGCTCCGCACCTGACTTTCTTCCACTGTCCGAAAAACCTTTGTATGTTAGCCGAAAACAAATGCAATTAACAGTAGTTAATAAAAAATAAATAAACGTATTAACAAACGGTCCCTGTTGGAATCGCTTAATCTCACGCACAGAAAATAACGGAAAATCGTAAATAAATGACAAACAATAGGAACACGGTCAACCTGCGTTCACAAGGAACCCTTATTGCAAATAAAAACAGTATACCGTAACAGTATATGGGATTAGAAAAAGAGAGAAGGAGAGAAAGAGAACACATGTCAGGGAGCTTTGTTCATGTGACAATGAAGGCTTTCCAGGGAATTCACACTTGGCTTTGTTTTGAAGACTTGATGTGGACTCGCCTTTTGTATTTTATATATACAAAGGGAAAATCTTAAACGCGCCGTTCCAAATATGTTTATTTCTGCTTATTTGTTTATGAAAAGACTATAAATAGGACCAATTACCCTTCCAATCATAACAGAAGTTCTAGCAATGCGAGTGGTCTGCATAACAAAATTATCGTCCATCGTGTGTATATGAAAATGCATTGTGCATGCGTTCTATTCTTTGTTTGTGTCATATACGTATTAATTTGTATATGTAAATGTTTCCTGCATAAAGAAATATCCATTTGAGGATATATAGATTCGTTTATTTATTTAAATGCGAAAAATCTTAACTTCAAATGATTCTTTTCTCTTGCGACCGGGTCTTTTGAACACATGCACATGATTGCGCAATCGTGAATTTGAAGTCGGTGGGAGTTATCGGCCTTGTTTGCCTGAATATCTGTCACATCACACAATATATCATACATGTATTTGAATAACGCGATAAATAATGATGACAATTGGACACACTGACGGATATTGACTCCCTAAATGATTATATGTTTGGATGTTTAGGGGAATGTATAATTACCTAAATTCAAGTTGGTCTATTGCACAACATAAATAATAGTTTCATCTGGCCTCACTACTTCCGGTGGTGTTATACTGTTGTGAAATGCTCTAGACGTATAAATATTCTGGCAAAAGTTATGCATATATGAAGTGTCGTTTGGATGAAGAAAAGTACCATTAATCTATCTATATGTTTCAGCAAACGATAATATAGAACTGTCACCAATTTTTATTTTTAAAATAACCTAGCCAACAGATGTCGAGTTCAACAAAAACTGGCAAGCAAAAAAAGATGAATTCTGAAGATAATGAAGATACTCGTTTGGCAAAGCGGCTGTGTTACCTCCTTCGGTACGGCGCTGTGAAAGAGGGTCTGGACGTGTACGAGGGAGGTTTGTATCGTTTAGCAATCTAAATGTATGTTATATGTATTCTTATTCAGAATCGGTTTTACAGATGTATTTTCACCCATTAAATCAGTGTTCAAATCAGGGGTATATTTTTCGAGACACAGACCAAGCGATATTATATGGAAATCGCTCACCAGGATGTAAATTTGGATTAACGTGATGGTTATGATCAGGCTGCCAGCAAATACATGTATGATCTCTACCAAAATGTGGTGTATTTTGTAGGATATGTAGACATGGACCAGGTGGTGGAACTGAATCTGATGAGGCATGATACCAGGGAAGAAATACTGGCAGAAGTGGACTCGTCCCTCTCCACTAGAGGAGCCAAGCGATTTGAACGCAAAGAGGAAAACGGCAAAACCTTGGTCAGAGCTTGCTTCTGTGTAAACTTCGAAGTGGTAAGTATATTGGAAAATGATTAGAACTATTATTGATTTATGCAAAAAGATATTTGAATAACTGAAATTAATATTTATAGTAAGTCTAGTTGTACAGATATTGACAATTACCATCACTTGTTGTATTGTAGAACCCATGTCACAGTGGTACCAATGTTACAACACTTCTGTCCACATGTTTAGACTATGTGTCGGATAACCTGGAGTTATTTGACCTGGAAGACTTCCCAGATGAGTATTTAATAAAGTAAGTATATAACTGGCAATTTCTTAAACATAGTATAGTGTAGTCGTACAGAAGTCAACAATCAAATATTAAAAGTAATTCAACATTGTTATCTGTTGATAAATTAAACTAGTACCATTTATCCAGATAAAGCTATTATCACAGAGGGTTGGCTTAAAATCATTGAAATTGAATCTGATTGTTATAAGATTACAGAGTGAGTATGCTTATGAGGCTGTTTTTACTTTTTAACAGTAACATGATCCATAGACTGAAGAAAAAAAAGAAATTAAACAATGCAGCATTTCGTCAGCTGCTTGTTCCAACTTTACATCATCTTAATCTGGATAATATTTACCTCACCGAAGGAACACTAAGAAGTGTCTGGAAGTCGTGTCCACATCTCCGCATTCTCAGCCTCAAAGATTGTGGATACTTAATGACAGATAATTTAATGGAACAACTTGCTAAGGTAAACATATTTGTTATGTTGTTGATGATAATGTTACAAATAGATATTTTTCAGTATTTGGTTACTGAATTCAGAATGCTGATCATCAACAATAAATCTTAATGAAAACATTAGTTTAAATATATTCTGCAAAATTGTATGGACTTTCAAAAAATTCAGTATTGAACATCAAAGCAAAGACACCTCAAAAGAAGCATGCATATGTTTTGCTCAAAGTATGGAAGTGAGCTTAGTACAGAACAACAATGACATATCATTTGTCTGTATCTCTACTGAAACTTAGGTTATATTGATGGGCTTATTTACAAGGCACATGTTAACTGCCAATAAATGTGTTAGTATCTGAAATTGCTTGAGACACAAAGCAAATGTTGTTTTATACAATATGCCATAATTTGATTATGTAAAATGAAAGTAAATTCAGTATTTCTCTCTGTTTCGTTACAGAAACTTCCCCATTTGGAATCTTTAAACTTGTGTGCCTGCAAACATTTAACAGACCGATCTATGAGTGCTTTATGGCGTTCAGCTAAAAACTTGAAGGAACTTAACCTTTCTTGGATAAAAACTATATCAGAAAGTGCAATAATAAGTCTAGTGAAGAATTGTCCGAAACTTGAACACTTGGATATATATGACCACAAGGTGTCGGCAGAAGGAGTAGAAACTTTGACCGAGATGGCCAAGGATAGAAATATTACAATTGTGTTAAAAGGTTTAACAGACACAACAGTAGCCCCAGAAAACCCTTGTGCTAAACTTCCATTTTTTGGAAAAACGTGCCATTAACAGCAACAGGTGATGAAGCCATTGGTCTTTCTTGTGATATTTTTGAAGAAATAATCATGAAATCTTTTAAATATTATTTTCATATATTTGTTATAATAAATGTTATACCACTCTGTATTTGAGTTTCAATTTTCTAACACTGCATTGTCATAAAGATGGATGAGAAAAGAAGTGGATATTATAGATTTGAAATACAGATAGAAAGTTGGTCATTTAGAAATGAGTAAGTATAACATGGAAAATGATAGGTATTAAACTCACTCTTGTTCAAAAATCTTGACATCTGTCTTTCGAATATTTAATTCATCAAAAAAAAAAGATCATTCTGATTGTATAGACACATCTGATTCTGCCCTAATCTTCACGTCACATGGAGATAAATTAGTAGACAGATGTTGCTGGGTATTAATCAAAACCTTCAGAGATAGTAGTCAATCTTACAACACAGCGATTAATGGTTTGATGCAGTCATTTCAAGGCAACAGTTTTTGAAGAACATTTTTTCTGTGACCGTAAATGATACTTTACAAACAGCCCTGGTAACAGATAAGTATAGTAGTGCAGGACAGAAACAGTCTAGTAATGTACATTTTTCTGTGTTTGATTCTGTAAGACACCTGTTTATGTCTATTGTAAATTGGACGACTCATGCCTGTGTCCAGACTGAAGACACTGATCCTGGACTTTGTCATCACCAACCTATATAATTCATTTCCATTAATGAACTGAACTAGAAAAAGTCATGAATAATGACCATGCTCTCTTGCATATAAGCTATGATTGTGTAATGAATTTACATAAGTAATGAACTTTGACCTTGTAACCTTGATAGATGACCACCTTTACATAATGAGGTGCAGAGCTTGATATGATGTTATGACACTTTGGAGTAAATATGATCCAAAACTTCTGAGAGGCTCTCAAGATATGACATTAATTAGGAATGGGATGCAACAGACTGAAATAGCAGGGACATTACCTATAGAAAATATTCTCTTTGTTTTCTATAGGAAGTTTTTCATCAAACAAAGAGAAAATACTGTTAAATTAACATGCCATTCATATTTTATTATTTTCTTTGGTCTGCAGGTACCAACTTACTAAAACATCAAATTTGTTTCACTTTGCTTCGCTATTGTGTTGTATTACCTTAACAGCCAACTAACCACTGAAGTCCTGCAGACATACATGTAGTATTTAATTGTCAACACCTTTATCTTATAGCCTTTAATCTTCATGATGGTGCTGGGCTATAAAACTTCAAAACTGCCCAGAATATACAGTTTAGGAGAGTATATACACTTTAAGTGCGGAGTTCCAGCAAAGAAGGATTCAGTATCCTTCGTTATTAGACCACCATCATCAGATGGTGGGTTATTCTAATTGCCCAACATCCATGGTCCATAAACAATTCTTGTTATTACTATATCTTGAAAAGCACTGTATTGATCTTTCTAAAATTTCATATATAAAATCCATATTTTGATTTTAGAACTGATCAGAAAAACAAAATGGCCGACAGACAGCCATCTTGGATTTTGACTTTTAAAGCTTATTATTACTATTTCTTGAGAAGTACTAAACAAATCATCTCAAAGTCCATATACAGGTTTTCCTCGATTTCTAGTTAAGCTCTTTTGATTTTGGGACTGATCAGAAATGAAAATAGTTGACAGGTGGCTAACTTGGATTTTGACTATCCAAGATTGATTATCACATGATTCATTAACAAGTATTAAATGCATATTTCCCAGATTTCATATTGTGGATTCCCATTGATCCCTAGTTGTGCCTGTATAATTTTGAGGCTGATCAGAGAATCAAAATGTCTGACAGGACTGGCAGGCATCATAGATTGCTATCACCATTTCTTGAAAATTAATGGATGGATTAATCTTTCTAAAATTTCATACGCATGTTCCCCTTGGTCTGCAGATAATCCTATATGATTTTGTGACTGATCAGAAAAATGAAATTGCTGAAAGTAAGCCATCTTGTATTTTGACAAGGAAAGTTTGTAATCACTCTTTCTCATAAAGTACTGGATTGAACTTTCTCCAATTTCAAATGTAGGTTCCTCGTGGTCACCAGTTATTGATTTTGGGGACTGATAAGAACAAACAAAAATGGCTGACTTACATGTAACCTTTATTTGTACTTTTTGTTCTCTCTTTCATTTCTCACACTGATTCAAAAACACTTCATGTAATAAATTTAATAAGTTATGTTGTAGTGAGAAAATGGACACAGGCTGAATACCAGGTTTGTGAATGTTTTTACCAAAACATTCATTGGCATAGATTTAACTGTATGGTAACTAAAATAAACCTGATATTCTTTAAAGTAAGAAAAAAGGACTGTACACAACAATTAGTGTTTCATGCTTTAAAAACTAGGATAAGGTCTAATTTGTATATAGAGTATAAAAATAACAAAAGGCCCATTGGCTCTGTATTGCTCACCATATATTCAATGCTTTTCACAAATACAACAACATTTCACATCATTGATAGTGAAAGTTTTGGTCAATGAGAAGAATTTGAAAGTTTCAACAAGTTAACTTCTCTTACCTTAAATACGGATCATGGTGATTTCTTTTCACCAAGTATGTCAGGCTTCATCTTTCAAGCCTATTACTACGTTTCGTAATTCTAGACCTTTTCTTTTATCATCAGAAGTTGTTTGAAGGTTTTGACAAATTTGACACATTATCAGTCAAGATCACTTCTTTTGTCGAGATTCTAAGTTTATTGGATAATCATCAGAATTTGTTTGACAGAGTTATCAAACTTGACCGGCCAAATATCACGATTCTGTGCCTTTTAGTTCATCATCAGAAGGAAAAATGTGAATGTCATAAAAATGCACACACAATGGATGTTACACTACAATATAAGCTCATTTAGCCTATATGCTAAAAAGCATATTTTTAGTAATGTGAATATAAATAAACAGTGTCTTCTGAATATAATCGTCGTTGATGCCCTTCTGATAAATCAATGTAAGTCGCAGGCAATTGCATTCAGAAAATAACTTATTTATCTATAAACTCCCTGATCTTTTTATTTCATATTAATCTGTTGAGGAACTTACATATTTTGTACACAAGTTTTTTATTTCAAAAATTGTTATGTGAAACCATCAGCTCTATAACTTTGATTATTGAGCATAAAAATATTCTCAGGAGTAGAATTTGATGTTGTTAAAATTTGGAACAAGTACGAATGATTTCTGTTAAATACAAGAGGTGTCCTGTACAAAAGCTTTTTGTTGCAAAAGTGGTTTGCCCAGTATGACCTTTGGCCTTTTAGCTTGGTATCAAAATCAAAGCAGGTGTAGAACTTGATGGTGTGATTCTTTGATGTGAATGTGAACTAAATTTGTTCAAGTGTTCATAAGATATCTTCTTGTAAACACAAAAAACATTTTACACACAGACATGGAAATGATAACTATATACCTCAATTATCTGCATGGGTGGGTGGGTGGGTTGGTGGCTGTTGCGGGGAGTATAATTAATGTCTACTACGTTACAAATGTTTTACAATAGAACCTGTATGACACATCACATGTACATACTAATTAAATCATGAAAAATAAATTATGATAGCATCACTCTTCATTTCATATAAATCTTTTCACTTTTTATTCCACAAACATACATTCCATTTCATCTTCATCTTAACAAAAGTTTCCTCTCTTATCGGCGAGCTAACACAATTACTTGGTAGTGTATCACAGTCATACCAGAATACACTTCCTCTGACATACTATAACTTCCAGGCCTCACAACTGTTTACATTCAGATATAGATTAGATAACTGATCAGTTAACTAAACCTTGGTGTTTTGATGATGTCTTTTCAATATCTTAGTTTTACTAATAACAACAAATAAAATAATTATCTTCACTCCTGAGATAAGTATCTATGTGATCTCCAGATCATAACAATTTTAGATGTCCAGTTACCGAGCTCACCAAGTCACTGGGACCTGAAATTCACAACAAATACAAAATCAATAGCTAATATTAAATCAAAGGGCTCACCAAGTCACTGGGACCTGAAATTCACAACATAATCAATAGAATATGTCAGTGACTGACTCTTATAAGAAACCATAGGAGACCTACCTGGACCCCTCTACACACAGTGACAAACCCTCATAAGAAATCAAAGTGGGCCTACCTGTACCAAGTTCCCAGACAGTGACCAACACTCATGGGAAAGCAGGAGACCTAAATGGACCTCCTCTACACAGTGACAAACCCTCATATGAAACCTAAGTGGACCTACCTGGACCCACTCCACAGACAGTAACTGAACCTCCAGGTATCTGTGTCCTCCCAGCATCTCTGATTACACTTGCATTCAGTCCTAGTGTTTTTGCCTTTGATGCCAGAGCCAACCTATGATGGACACAGATATATGATACATAAATAATTGTATCAACCTTTCATACCTTTGTATTTAACACCAACAATTTAATGTATGAAATGTTTTAGACCTGAACAGTCAGATACACAATTACACATTATATATGCATATCTAATATGTAACATTTAATACTTGATGTATACATATAATCTCACTATCACTTCTTTGGACAGCTGTTGCCACATGCATATGGCGTCTCAATATTTGAAAATATTTCTACCGGTAATTTCAATTTGGGAATTCAGAGTCAGAATTCTTACTGAACAAATTCTAAAACAAAGTTGTGCTGCTGTCTTAAGTTCAGGCCTTGCATTGTATGAAATATCCATATACTCACAGTGATGTCTCGCTGTCCACTTTCACAACCACTTTGGGCTGGCCAGAATATTTCCACTCCCTCAACATATCAGGGTAATATTTAGCACAGGAGTTGTAGGCTTGCACTGCAGCATGGGCAACCTATCAAGCATAAAGAGGTATTCTGCGAATAAAAAAAATGTGCTACATACTAAATGTTGATATTATTATATATTTATCATTCTCACATTTTTAAAAGCTACAATGGTTCCTATAAAGGAATAATACCTTGAGCAATGACCAACCTACCTGTGCAGCTATCTTCCCTTTTCCCATCTTTAGATCTGTCCGTACTACCACTATTAATTTGTATTCGCCTGTATCAGACAGCATGTTATTTCCACTAAGCTGAAACAAACCATTTGAATAACATGAATTAGAGGGAAAAATAGCAGAACAAGGAAAGAAAGCGTGGTTTGCAATAATGAAAGTATGTCGTAATAATTTTTTCAATCCTGAAACACAAATCTCGGTTTTTGATACTTACGTAAATAGTATACTCACTTATGGAGCTAAAATCTCGGGACTGCATAAAGTACCCGACGTAGAAAAGGTACATTTACATTTTTGCAAAAGATTACTGAAAGTTCGTAAAAGTACCCCTAATTGTATGGTTTATTTTGAACTTGGTAGATATCCTTGATATATCACACGTAAATGTAGAATAATAAAATATTGGTTAAAACTTAAAAACACAGAAAATTGTATTTTACAAGCATGTTACAGGGAGATGGTCAAAAATAATGATATTTGGATAACTGGTATTAGGAATGAGCTATATAGATTAGGACTGGGCTACATATGGGAATCTCGACATCCAGACATTAATATGTACGCTATTTTTAAACAGTGAATAATTGATATGTTTTGTCAAGACTGTAATGATAAAATAAGTTCTTCCCCAAAAGGTAGTCTGTGTAGTTTCTTCTGCAACGAATGGAATTTTGTTAACAAGAATATCTGAGAAAGTCACTTGATAGTCTTAGCCTAAGAGAATTAAGTAGAATTAGATTGTCTTCACATGATTTACTTGTAGAAACTGGGAGATATGATAATATAGAACGAAACCGAAGACTGTGCTTACTTTGTACACTACGTAAGAAATTTATTAAACCTTATTACTATAGAAATGCCAGTATGTTCAAATTGATAGGGCTCTTGTCTGCTAAAAATGGAAAGTACATCTCAAATCTAGCAAAATTTTAAAAACTTGCAAACAAGAGAAGACTAGAAGGTATGCAATAAGTAAAGGCTATTTTTCTTAGAACTTGCACACAGTGTGAATCATTTTGATAACATTTGAAATCTGTAGGGTTTTTTTCATTACAATCCTTTTTCCTATGTTCGTTACATGGTATATCAATAGTTCTGTGCATAAAGTATGCTTGTTATTTCAACTTGTAATCATTGTAAGATGGTGCTATGACGAGATTGATAACAGGAAATCGTTTATAGCTAGAATATGTTTTATTTGTATTAAGGTAATTCTCTACACTATATGTTAGATTTTTGTGTGTGTGTGGGTGTGATGTGAAAGTATTAAGTGACGTCTATACATTGTAAATATTCAACTGTCTACTGATGAGCCAGATGGATTAAAGTAATAAAGAACTTGAACTTGAATTTTCTGATACACATCTGTTGAGACGAATTTAACTTTTACAGTCAGAAACCTAACAGACCTGCATAACTCATGATCAACTTTTCATGATATACAATGAACAACATACTGAATAAAAAAAATGATGCACCTACATTATGAAACATGTTCTTCATTGTGATATTTTGAATTATATTACACTATAATCTTACAAACTTTTCGTGAATTTAGCTTGTTCATTTGGACAAATTTGGAATAGCACTTCATTTTCTGCACAAGGTGCACTTCAGTACAAATCAGGACTAAATATGTTTGTCAAAATGTGAAGGACAGAGCCAGAGAGAACAAGCCATTAGGCTCATTCAAACCGTCTATTCACACGGTAGGCTGCTATCCATTTTGTACAAATGCAATCGTAGTTTCCCAATGTAGCATACATGTACCCATGTGTCATTAATTTACATGAACCAACTATTGCATGTACATTTGTACAGGAATATATACAGTAAGCGACCTACAGGCGACAGGGAAATTGTATTTCACTAGCAAACGGTAGCAAGCTGAAGGTACACGTACATGTCAACAGTACAAGCAATTTATTTGTACAATACAATAAGTTCGTCATCCGTCAAAATAGGTTACATTCTGGCAATTCTTCATAATCATTATCAGACATGACCAGTACCAATCTGTTATATCACAATATTCGTTATATGTATGTAATAAGTTATAACACGGCTTTAAATTCATAGGGGGAAAATACAGCAATATTTTTTCTACGTGTACTGTATATTATTTATTGACTTTGATGAGCAGCTGACCGGAGTGACAATACTGGCATATGGGATTGGTTACTCACGTCGTCGAGTTCCCCTTGTCCTGAGGATTGTCTCCGTCTTCCTAAGACTCGACCACGACTGATCCATCCTATACAGAATCCAACTCCTACGCCCAGACAGATTGCTGATATAAACTCTTTGCTATGGAGTGTGTCCATTTTCTTCTTTCACTTTCACGTGTCTACCACGGGTGACAATAATTACAGCCCAGTACCGCCCGGACGGTCCGACACCGCCCAGGAACTATATATTGATCGTCCGGGTTTTTAATTTCTGATTTGAAGCGTTCAGACTGACTCAAATGTAAATATATTGTCAAAACCAATATTTCAGTCAAAAATGGTAAAAACTTCTCCAAATTTTCCGGATTTACCGCTATTTGAAATAAGTGATATCGCAACAATGAGTTTGGGTCGTGTCATTTGCGATTTTTATTTATGTACGGTTAAATCTGTATAAATATACGTTAATGTGAAGAAAATAAACCTCATAGTCCATAAATAATGGGAAATATTTTTCAAATGTCGAATTATTACCATTTGAAATCCCCGACATCGCAACAATGCACTCGCATCTTGTTATTTTCATTACCTGGACCGTCCGAGCTTTTATTTTTCAGAGTATCAGAGTCTGTCCGGAGTGTGTTGGACATTATTCCAAGGCGTCAGCTTCATGACCAAGACTCACATATCGTTAAATATGTATTATCATAATCCAGAAATAATGAAAAAAAAATATTTTGAAATTACCAAATTAATTACCTTTTGAAATCATCGATATCGCAACAATGCGTTCGCCCGGGCTTTTATTGCAATTTACATATCGTTACATCTGCATTAGCTTTTCATGCGAATAATATGAACATCTTAATCCAGAAATAATCAAAATATCAAAAACTGACAAGTTTATTACTTTCTAAATATTCTTCCATCATTTCTGGATAATTGTATATAAAGCAGATTAAACGGTGCGAGCAAGGACGTATAATACTATTATACGTCCCTGGTGCGAGCAAGAAAAAAATGAACCCGGGTGGTCCCGGTATCGCAAATAACAAGATTTATGGTTGCGATATTACTGATTTCTAATACTCACAACTTTGACAATTTCTCATAATTTTGCACTATGTTACATTGATGTCGTTAATAGCTTTGCATGTAAAACAATTTCAACTTGACACAGGTGCAAATAAAAGCCCGAGCGGTCAATATAGGTTATTGTTGCCCGGGAAGTGCCGGGCTGTAAGTAGTGTAACCGCGTCAAGGGTGACAACAGACCCCTCTGGAGAAATCAAAGTGAAAATGGTACTCCATCCTCTTGATTGGAGTCTGATTACAGGAATAGCCACTGATTTTGCTTTTGGCTATTGTATGTATAAAATGTATACGTTCGGTAATCGCTATGTAGCAGATATTCAGGTAGGTGAAGTCTGGAGTCAGACATTACGTATACTAGCTTAGTTGGGTCAAAAGTATCAGAACTTTTGGGGGCGTTTGGATTTCTTCCATTCAAGTTATAATCAGGATTCTATTGAAGGTTACCGTCACAAATGACTTTCATGTTTCTATGAAAGAAAGAAAAAAAGACTCGATAAGAAAGATGAAATGTTCTATTTAGAACTAGTAATATTCCCATGAACTACACGTACCATTGCGTCATATAAAAGAAGTGTTGCGTGGGAAATGTCAATCTGACCAAATGAAATGCCTTGTAAATACAAATATAGAAACGAATCATTTTAATGAATGGTTCATTTTCCTCAGAAACACTTCAAATAATTGTTTTGTTTTCTCATAAACAGCTAGCTAACTCTTGGAGAAGATATAATTATCATAAAAAGAAATTATAATTTAATATCATTGATTAGAATTCACATAAGTACTTGTATGTAACATATTGTACAAGTCAAGATAATATGAGTGTCTATTCATATATGATTTGCAATATAATGTATATTGTACATATCATGGACCTAGATTATTATATTTGAGTCCATTGATATATGTGTACATTTACAAGACAAGTATGGTAAAAAAAAAAAAAGGTGTTCTGAAGAAAATTTAAGTAATTAAGCATTTTCAAGCCTAAAAAGTAAAAAGCACAATCAGTCTTCAAAGGATTGCTTCTAAAAATGTATTTTTTCTGCAAATGTATATTGATTTTTAGTGATAAATTAAGGAAATAAAACCAATAAATCAATACCTTAATTCTTTACTTGCAAAGACAATTACCTGGGTAACTGGTAGAGTTTAAGAATTGTATTATCAGAGATCTGAAACACCTGGAGCAAGTGTAATTCATCAAGTGAAGTTGTTTATTTAGATGTTATTTAACAACTTGCAGTCTTGAAAGACTAATATCAGTGGTACTCAATATTAGATCTTTATCAATTGTACCAGATTCAAAGCTTTGAGAAATATTGATATCAAAGTGTTGCAAAGTTTTCAATGCAGTTGACAGCTCAAACTGTTTTATTAATGTATGTGTATTCGATTATCAATAATGAAACTTAAATTTATTCTGATCATAATTGATATATCCTTTTTCAGGGAGCAAAACCTGTTCAACTAGATGAAGGACTCAAGAAGCAGTTAGAGAAATGTACTGAAAAAACAATTCCATATGTTTGGGTAGAAGGGCTTGTAGCACCTGTAGGCAATCCCATGATTAGTCGGCATAGTGACAAAGAGGGTGTGGTTCAAACAACCTCCTTAATAGAACACAAATCAAAACGAATCATAGGGAACTCATGGTATGTATTCTAAAAATCAATGTCGCATTTGTTTTGAAGACTATCAGGTTTGTCTTATTCTTCAAAGAAAACAGGAAAAGTGTCAGTAATTTAGAAACTTTACATTCCAAGTAAAGATATTTATATAAGGTGTAAAGTAGAATACTGTCATTATGCAATTTGATGTTCCATTTTTCTTGCAGCATCAAGGCTAAAGCTGATTAGTTCCCCCTACATGTACAAAGATAACATCATTAACATAATTGTGTTTTCTATTTGTTACAGGGCAGACACAAAACATACAATACGAGATACATCAGAGTTCATACCATTCCTAATCCATGCTAATGACCAACCAGACCATAAGATATACATTGCTGAGCCTCGGATGGCTGAATATTTGACAGAAAATCTGATGATGACTTATGACAAGTTTGAAAAAAAGGAAAATTCCTCAATCTTTAAGCATGGCATGGATATTATATCTGGTGAGGTTAGCAAGGGATTTCATGAGATGGAGCGCATGCTACTTGTAGGCACACAGTTACTGGGTATTGGAGAACTTACGTTAGAGGCAGGAAAGGTTAAGCTACGTCCCCCTAGTGATGGTAAACGATACATTGTAACTGCTATGAGTAAAGAAGAATTGATCAACAAATTTAAATCTCGATCAAAAATGGCAAAATTCTTCTTCAAAACATCTATTGTGATAGGAGCTTGTTTATTGACATTTATGTTATATCGATGGTTTAAGAAAGTACAAGACAGATACCAGCAAAGGCAACAATTACAGATTATACGAGAGGAGAACAGAAGAGTAAGAAGGGAAGCTGCAGAGCAGAGAGCACGGAATGCCCAACGGAATCAGGAAGGAGGTCAAGCTGATAGAGATGGACAAAATGGTGAAGAAAGAGACGAATATCGAGACATGTGCGTAGTTTGTCTGACCAATCCGCGAGAGGTCGTGCTCATTAACTGTGGCCATATATGTCTGTGCTTGGACTGCGCTGATATGCTGCCTACCCCGCTTCAATGCCCAGTGTGTAGAGCACGCGTTGAACGATTTGTACCATATTACAATCCGTAAATCCTCTCCTGCATCCATATTTATCCTGCAAAGAGCTAAGGGAAGCCAACATATTGCCTCGAAATCAAAGATGATTAGTGATAAGAACTGACCCTAAGACTGTGATCATAAAATATAAACCAGATAACATAAGCTTTTCTTTGGTCAGCACATAAGATGAAACATCATTGGTTATTTATATCACGATTTGAACCACACCCATTTTTTAAGTGGCCTACTGACGAAAAAATTATGTAACCAATATCAGCAAACGAAACGAAAAATTAAATGCCAAGTTGCTGTATCTGTATTCATGCATGATAGGTGGAGAATCATCAAATTGTATTACCATATATATTTACATGTATATTTCAATTTTCAAATTTTTTTGCCATTCTTTTTCCTTAATTAAAATTTTTAAAATTCATATCACATCTTTATCTCGTAAGCCTATTTCTGAATGGTTTTACTTGATACAAAAAATTCTCAATACAAGGAAATACAAATGACATAGAAGATGGAGCATCAACATCAGGATTCAGTGGTTTTATATTAAGCAAGCTAGGCTAGCCGTCATAACAACAAGTATGAATATTTACATAGCCAACATTAAAATTACAGCTCGGATGTAATGTAATTGCAGTCATCTTTATCATGTGATAATGACAATACAGTGGCACTAATACAAGAAAGTAATCAAAGTAGGTATTTTTCACAGCAAGACAACAAATCAACAAGGTTGCTATGCCCGATTCTAAGTTGTGTAATTTCTGACTCAAAAAACCTTGATATGCAAAAGAAAATTGTCTGTAATATCCAGAAAAAGATGTTATCCTGTAGTTACAAACCAGTTCCTATCAACATGTGTTTTGTGAACCTTCAGAAAATGGTTTTTAGTCTAAAAAAAATCCTATATCTTTTATCACAAATCATGGAATTGTAATGTGCCTTTATCTAATTGGCATTCATATTGCCAAGGAATGTCTACTGAAAACAGTTTGATGCTTAAAAAGACCAATGTAGTTATAATTTATTTTAATTTTAGAAAACCCATTTTATATGCTTATTTATATATATTTATAGCTATTGAAAAGTACTATGCAGAAGAGAAATGAAGAGAGAATATTTGTTTTTTTATGTTAATATTTTATGTTTAATGACCTACAAGATCATAGCGTATGACAAAAGAATGTAAAACTAACTGATAACTTCAGAAAATCAGTTAATCTATTTAAAGAACATGTATGCAATTTTTTTTCTGGTTGACTTCTTTTCATGTTCTGCATAGCTCTACCAATATATCTTGAATTTTTTAGGTTTGAAATTTTGACTACAAATATCTTCCCCATTGAAACACCTAAAAATAGTGTTTCTAAATTCATAAACAGACATGCAAGTATTATCTTTCTGACACTCTACCTTGCAAACACTGTAACAGTCCAATGCATGCCATTCCGGTCATCAGCTGGATCCTCTTTAAATGTTTTGGTGATTTCCAAGGTATCCTCCAGAGGTGTGCTGGTACAGTTGACCAGGCCCAACCAGGGACTGGCCAGCTGCATGTTGTTACAGCCTGGTACCCAAGATGGTTTTGTACCCTCTTTGCTTATCCTACTGCATCACTACAGGCAGTAATGCCTACCTTTCACCCTTCACCAGTTGCCTAGCACTTTGTCTGGTGACCCTTCCACCTTCTTCCTCTATATCCAGCTTGAAGCAACCTCTGCCTGTCTGCTTGCTGCTCCCACCAGTTTCTTCCAGTCTGCTCCCAACCCCTAGCATTAGTAAGGCTCTCCAAAGTCACTGGACAGTGAACCTCCTGCAGTCAACCCCAACAAGCAGACACCAAGTTCTCCATCCCTGCTATTGACACTCATACACCAACTGTTGTACTTCTGTCATTTCCTTTCATTTGCCTCTTCCTTCTCTCTTCCCATAGCAAAGTTAGTTCTGCCATTGCTAACTACTTGTAACTGTAAGATCAAAGCACAATGTCTGGGCAGAGTGGTGATGAAACCACAGGGAATCTGAAAGTGGAATCAGGAGACTCAACCTCTTCTGGATGTCTGCCCACAAATTTTAGCCCTTTTGAAATTGGTTTCTTCTTTTGTCTGGCACAGCAAAGCTTTCTGCTCTCTTTTGAAGGACTTGGTTCTGTCACCACATATATTTGCCATCAGTCAATTCAACCTGACATGATGTAAGAACATTAGTCAAGTTAGTTGGTCAACTGCACAGTGTGCACATCATTGTCCTTAATTTTTTCAGGAAAATAAGTTTGAAGGACTTGGCAGAACATTGTAAGAGGAAACTAAGCCTGTACCCTTCCATGTTCCTGATGTCACTCCAGGATACTTTCTGCTGTTTAACACCCACACAACACATCCAGCTCCTTTGCTGTCTCATGAGAGCAGTTCTCACTTGATATCTGCCTGAGTCATATCTCTGTGTTCCTGCTTGTTAGTAGTGGTCTTGGAATAGCTCCCAGCCCAAGACAATCTGATGCCATAATTCTTTGTCAGCATGCTGAAGTCTGACCACTGTCATGTCTAGTGTCTGCTTGGCGTTCCATTTCCTTCGTGTCCTTGTTGCTACCTTTGCTCCTCTGACCTTGTCATCTACACTGTCCCTCACCATGATAAATTGTCATACCTCAGTTGCCTTGAACTTGTCATACTGTGTTGTAATAAATTACACACATTGATCACATTTCGAGAATATCATGTCCAAAAAGCCATTCCTTCAGTTTTTGTGAATTTCTCTGGAATTTGTTTTTGCGTTTTGCTACCCAATAGCATTATATCAATTATATATGATCTTCATGGAATATTGATTCAGCCATAATTACCCGGTCATACAAATCTGACATAGCCTTCAGGTAAATAGACTCTTCTGGGTTACACTTTGGTATTTTAAAGTAATTATGAGCTATGAGTGGTTTTAAGTACTGGAAAATTGTGCTGTGACTTTTCATTAATTTGTATGTTTTCTTGTTTTTTTTTTAAAGCTAAACTCATAAGTAAAAATTACATTATAAATGAGATTTAGATTGCAGAAATCTTTGTATTATCACTATGATATAAATCACACTGTGCATTTGTACAATTAATAATGGCATGTACAATGTACAAGATTTGCATGAGAGTTTTCAATAGACTTCTGTTTAAATTGTTTGGTCTTGTTAAAGTAGAATATAGATCCAATTCATTGTTTTACATTTTTTTAACTTTTAAGTTAGAATTTTTTAAGAGTTAATTTTAAGTTCTTATCTGTAAGTATAACTTTATTGTCCTGTTAGCAGTATTTAGACAATAACCACTCAGTGATTTTTGGGTTTCGGGAGAGTCCTGGACTTTTCCTGTAGAATTTACTCAAGTTTGGAGAACCCACTAGTGTTACAGACTTTCCTGAAAATATCATACAAAAAGTAACTGGGCACTTACTTATCTTTTAAGGATATGTGTATTATATGCCTTTTTACCAAAATAGTTCAAACAAACTTAAAAATAAGAGTTTCACTAAGAAAAGAAACAAACCTAATAGTACTTTTTATTTGATTTTTAACTTTTAAGCAAGGAACTAAAAGTCAAAAAGTAAAATACTGACATTGCAACAGTATTTATGTATTATTAGAAAATGCATTTTGACTAAGATATTTTAAAACATATTCTCAACACAAACTAACTACTAAACATGAAATGCATGTAATAGGAAGTAATGTGAAAACCATGCTTGTAGAGGGATGAGGTGGAGGGGTAGGGCAGTGCTTATGAAATTCTTTGATAGTTAAATTCATGCAATCTGTCTGTGATTGACTTGTCACTGTGATTTTGTAAAAGCAATAAGACAAACCATCCGTTACAAGGTTGGAATGAATTCAACTTTATATACAAGCAGTTTACCTTTCCTTTGACCACTCTCCAGCCAAAATATTCAATATTTACCATGAAAAATGGCTCCATTTTGTTTTCAAAAACTGAAATTTGAAAAAAAAATATCTTGATTGCGTAACAGCAATTGGTGATCTGTGCAATCCATGTTTTTTCATAAGAAAATGATGAATCTTTTCATAAAAGTATAAATATATACTTATGAATCATTATCATTTCCCTTAATTATTGATTATATGTTGAATCATCAGTGCTATCATTCTTTGAGCAGGGAGGGATTTTATAGGTCAGAATTAAAAGAAGCTATCAAGTAAAATATATCACTTTATAAGAGTTTGTAAATTTTCCTTGTAGACAAAAATAATTTAATGAAATTTTTTCTACTAATGAAGAAAATGGTATCCCCATAAAATAAGTTGATGTACGGTAGTAGAGATATATATATATAGTAGTCCTATCTGTTAATTGTTCATCTTGTTGTTTAGAATAAATTACTCAAAGGTTGAGTATTTCCAAGTCTTTCTAAATTCTTGATCGAGAATTTACAATTGATATACATTCAAACTTTGAAATATGAAATTGTTTGTAATAATGTTTATTGTTTATATAAATGAAATGAAGGTGATAATAAATATATTTGAATAATTCTTTGTTATTGCTTGATTTTTTTTTATGTCCGTTTTACACTTAACTTTTTAGCTCACCATTATCAGAGACATATATAACACATACATGTGATATATACATCTCTGCCATCATCAAATGATGGTTTAATCAACTGGCCCTGCATCAATGGCCTGCAGCCATCATTTTTGTAATAGCCATTTGATAAGAACTACAGGGTTGACCTCTCTCAAATTTCACATGTAGGTTCTTCTTGGTCTCTTGGTGTACCAGTTTAATTTTGGGACTGGTGAAATAAACGAAAATGGCCGAAAAGTGCCCATTTTGGATTTTGACAATGAAAGTCTGTTATCCCTATTTCTTGAGAAGTACCGGATGGATCTTTCTCAGATTTCATACATGTATGTAGATTCCTCTTGTTTTCTACTTGTACCAGTATCATTTTAAGATAAGTTTATTTCTAATTCGGGACTTGTCTTAGTTCTCTATACCAGACTCATTACAATACAGTATGAATACATAACAAAATACATATATCCGGTACTGGACTTGATACCTAATTCTGGATTGATGCTTTATAATTAAAGAAAAGTGCTTGGTTTTTCCAGTGATCATCTAGTCTGTTTTTAAATAAATAAACATTCCCAGCAGATACAACATTTTCTGGTAGTTCATTCCAAATTTTTACTGTTCAGTTTGAAATTTTTTTTTCTTAGAATAGTTGTGGATCGTTTAGGAAACTTTTTGAATGACCTCTGTGACTATGGCGATCCGAGGCACCTCTCCATAACGCAATAGCATTAAAACATTCATTATCATAAATTGACTTATTTTATACAGTTTTATCATATCTCCCCTTATTCTCCTGAATGCCAGTGTTGGAAGCTTCAGTTTCTTCAACCTCTCACTGTAGGTCAGGCCCTGACTGACTGATCACTGATAGGCTGATCAGAAAAAGACAAAATGACCGACAACGGCCATCTTTATTTCCAACAGTAAAAGTTGGTTAACACTATTTCTTGCGAAGTAATTTCTGCATCTTTCTCAAATTTTTCAGGAGTTCCCCTTGGTACCTGGAAATGTTCCCTATCCCAATTCTGTGACGACATTTTAAATTTCTTTACTTGTTACTAAGTGTCATAGGTCGTGAGTTCAAGGCCCGGAGAGGGTACAAGTTAAAACATGTCTTTCTTTGTCAATTGATTTTGGTGCCTAAAATATCGATAAATTTACACAATGCATCATTCTATCATTTTCAATATGGCTGTTAGTTTGTTGTCTACGATAATAGCTCCGTCTTCTGAAAAACTTTCCGACGGGGCTACCTACATACGGCTGCCATGAACCTAATAATGCGGCATATTTAAGAATGTCATAGTAATAAATTAAGAATCTTTCCCAGTCAAATTTACAACCTTAAAAATATCTAACTGTAATTTATTTCAATAAGAGTGTACATAAAATGTTGGACGCGAACGACCCATTCGGAGAGTCTCCGTCTTTGATTTTCAAAGAAATTTGACAGTTTTGGAAACTCCGGGGTTTCTATTCTTTTCGTGCTTGACTTTTCCAATAAAGTTTGTCGGCGAATTACTTCCTGAGCTGACACTTCATCATGATTCGGTTTGATATCATGGGTACTGACAATAGACGGAAGAGAATATCTAGGGGCAAAAATATCTTCGTCTGCCGTCCACAATTTTACCGTATTCAACGAAGATATTGTGCTGCTTTCTTCTTCATTTTCATCGCCAGCATCATCTATTCCTAAAGGAAAAGGAACAAAATTTTTATACAGAAAACGCTTTTCACTCAAGCGCCAAAAGTGAATTCGCAATAAAATCTAATATGAATGCGCAGCTGAAAAAGGTTTGGCCTACGGCTGCGAAAGCACCGGATGTAGGCATCCTCAATACTCCGGAAATTACGATCACTTCCGCTCTCTGCACCTCTAGATGTCATGGCAAGATTGAAAGTTCCATGTGTGACACCTTGTTGACAAGACGAAAAGACTAGTTTGATCTTTTGATGTACATCAAACGAATCTCGAGGTTGCATAACGGTATATTGTAATGACTCTGAACTTGGGTCATTCGTAATGTTCAAAAGGGACGTTTCAGTCTGTGATTGGTCAGCCTTTTTGTCCTGGAACCAATCAAATTACTTCGCTTGTGCCTTCAATTTGTGTCATGACATATTCAAGAGGTGCAGAGAGCGAAAGTGATCGTAACCCCTGGAGTATCGAGGATGTGGACTCATCTGTTGGAGGGGGAATAATTTTTAATTCGACGGGGTGGGGGGATTAACATTATGTATCATTTCCTGCAAACATTTCAAACTGACGTCTCCCGTAGTAGCTCGGAAACGTTTTGTCACTTCGGATAGAACAAAGAGTGTCGCAATGATTGAAACCTGACGAAGAAAATTCCATACACAATTTACGGCAACAATTTATCAGTAAAAGTAATTGACGCTGTCTATAATTCTATAACTATCGAAACAGAAACAAAACCTACTGAAAGTTTTTTTTAAAAAGTAGCGCACCACAGTATCATAGACCAGCAGTTATCGGCGTTATAATTTCACGTGATCCCAATAGTAGATAATTACCAATATGTTTAAATTTTTGTTTCTGTGAAATGGACAGAGTCTCTCCGCCATTCCAACACGTGTGCAGCCTTCCGTGATAAACCCCTGTCCTGTGGTTTCTTGGTGGCCTCTCTTCCCAGCGTACCGCATGTTTCTGGTCATTCAAAACAACCCATTTCCAACTGAACTCCGACTTTGGCGGAAGTTCCACGGCAGCAAACCACGTTCCTGATTTTGGCGGCATTTCCCTGGCGAGTACCGCATCTTCAAGCTGCCAAAGACCAAGCTCTCCGATGGAGCCACACAGTGCGAGGCGATCTTGTGTGTTATGTACCACGTATGCTATTTCAAATATGTAAGACACAAAAGTATTCCTACCACTCAGCGACATATCACCAAGTGTGACGTCACAATTTGGTTGACGTCACAATGGATTTTTTCTGTCACGGTGAAAAACCTTTTATTTGGTTAATCTCGTGGTCCATTGGGTAAATGATCTCAAAAGAATTTGTTTATGCTTTTATTTACTATATATTTACAATAAAATCATTAAAAGAGATAGATACAGGCATTTACCTTGTGTAAGCTACGTTCAACATGATTTCGACGTCGCATTAGTCCATACTAACAGCCATTCACAAGAGGCGTTGACAGAAAACTAAACCCCGTCCATTTTCTCCGTGCCAACAGCGGTTAAAAATTCATGTACATGTATTGAAAAATACTTGATCGAAATCGAGTAAAATCATTTTCAGCTTTTAAGGTCCATAGTGCCATCGGTGAACAGTTCATTGAAATAATTAATGTTCTTGAAGTGATCAGAAACACATATGCTCCGTACGGTCTGATATGGCCGCCATTAACTGCACACGAGCGTGTGACAATATACTTTTGTGATGAGGAGAGAGAAGGAAAAAATACGAATCAGGGACTGATACACGCTTAAAGGAGCTATACCCAACTTCAAAGTCACAATATACCGTTATGCGACCTCGAGAGTCGTTTGATGTACATCAAAAGCTCAAACTGGTTTTCTCGTCTTGTCCGCAAGGTGGCGCATACGGAACCTTAAATTTTGACATAAAAAAATGTGTCAATGAATGCGGAGAGCGAAAGAGTATCGAGACGAAAAATGAAATACTTCGAAATATTTCAAGTTGATGGTTTTATAAGTCTCAAAGATTTTACAATAAAGTTTGAATGACAAAACAGATATAATTTTACAGCTAATTAAACCGAAATGTTTGTTCACATTAGAAATCACGAGATAATGAGCCGTTCCATTTTAACCAGGATGAACATTATAGTTGGAATGGATTATAATCAATGCTGTTTAATCAATTGTCGTTGCCTTTATTCCTGCAAGGATTAAAGTTTTTCGTAACTTGGCAGTTGAAATTTGAGGGATGTAATTTGCGTACTCAACTCGCAAATATCATACACAAGACCTTAAAATCGCAGCATTGCACGGAAACAGGGCTTTTTTTTTTTTAAAGAGAAGTGGTCATGATTTTGGTTTTTGTTAAATTTTGCTTTTTAAAAATAGTTTTGGAATTTAGTTCAAGGCATTGCCCTTGGGGAGACCTTTTTCAGGCCATCCTCGTCCACTATTTGGGATGCAAAATCAGTTTGACATTATGAAGGGTATTTTAACTCCATGTCATTGACCTGCAAGTTAAATAGGTTAAAGATCTTATTGAAAATATTTCGAAAATCCAACAAGTTCAAGTTTTTACATTGTATTGGGTGGACCATCTTGCCATGATGAGGATGAGGGGTAAACAAAGATCAAATAATCATGTTCTCAACTTTTCACCAACTTACCTGCCAATGCATCCAACATTGCTGCAGCAATGCTTTCCTCTTTACACAAATATTGCATGCCTTCTTTTTAAGCAAGGAAATTCATCCAATTAACTTGAATGAGTGGAAAATCTACGTTTGATATTGAACATCTTTGGACATGGAAGGTACACACGAAATTTCAATCCAATTCCAAACTTCCAAGTTCTAAATGCTTGAAATCCACAAAAATAGTACTCATTAGAACTTTCTAATTTAAATTGTACATTCCATATGACTGAATTACATTATAGCACCCTTATATCTTTTGAGAGAACAAAAATTTCCTTTCCTTGGGAAACTTAGTTCGTTAATCGCTTATATCTATTTACACACTTGTTACTTATGGAGTTCTTCCTATTAGTGCATCATAAGGAAATGCCGGAGCATAGTTCTGATCATGTGAAAGCCAAAGACGGTGTTATCAGCTTTTGTGGACTGAACAGTGTTCATGTTCTAATTATGTCAATTACGTCATATGAACACCAGTATAAGTCATTTAGGCTTCTGGGATGTACCCTTGTCAGATTGGGTAACAATTTAAAATGTAGGTGAAAACTTCAAGTGTTTGTTTAGCTGCGATTTGAAGGAGCTTTGATTTTTTGCAGATATCACTTCTTCCGGTAGACTGTTCCAAATATTTACATTTATGTTATTAAATATGTTCATTGTGGTACTTAGCCTTGACCGTGGTCCGCTATTTTTTTTTTTCTCAAATGTCCCACGGTAAAGTTAAACAGGAGCTATACTGAACAATTTCTCCACAATATCGATACAGCTCATAATGTTGTAGATTTGAACAATGTCCGCCCGTATCCTTCCAGGAACCTGTAGTTGGATCCTTCTTTTATCGCACCTGTCGCAAAGCATCGCTAATTAATGCGCCGTCTGTTTTATATATTTTCGGCATAGGATTATCCTCACCTGCCATTTTGTGCGATTGTTATTAAGAAATGTAATATACCTATACTGGCACTTAACTCGCCACTGGTATCTGTCATTAATTGGCAAGGTACCTTGCCAAATTGTTTATATGTTGTGCACGCAAGGTCTCGACTATGTTCTAATGCCTGCACACAGTTACGCAGAAAATGAAGTTTGGCGAACTAAATGTAAATTGGCGAAGTTGCTTCACCGAATTTGATTGAAAACTCGTGCTGGCAAAGCAGCCTGCTGAGCTTTTTAGAAAAGGAATATACAATAGTATAAGACAGTTATGTCAAACACAATTAATTTGGCAAATGATTCGATGATAAGTTAGACTTCAATATACCAACTGTTTACTCTGGTTGTCACAGAGGTGTCTAAGGTGAACATCTCCCGCAGATTTTTAAGTTTTGTTTCCTCTAAATGAGAAAATTTCAGGTACGTCCAATGCATTACCTTATATATCAGGGGCGTAGCTTCCATAGAAAGATAAAGCCCGGGCCTACACATACAAAAAATCCGTGTATAGAGTATGTCGGACAAATTACAAAACTAAGGTTGAAAATAAATATCTAATATTTTTGATAAATAAAAAAATATAAATAGAAAATTGTTAAATAACTAGGCCTATTGCATTGCTTTCCGGAACTTTATACACGTCATACTATTCTACTTCTTACTATCATTTCAACGTTTCCAATTAAAATGTTGTTAAAGTGCAAATTTTCAAACTGAAGAAGGCTTCTGGATTACAGACGTCGATCGACAATTTTTTAAAATAAAATAAAGTCGAATCGAGTGACCACACTAAAAGTGACAAAAGACCGAAGGTACATATAACCAAGATACGGAAATTGTCATGGACATTTTCGCGAATCAAAAGAACAGAAAGTTTGCTTTTATTTTGTAAGTTGAAGTTTGTTGTTAAATAAATTTTAAAAAACTGTCTCAGAAAACGATTCAAAACATCTTTGAAATCACAAAATTTATTTTCCGTTCGAGGCCTTCGCCCCCCTGATCCCCCTACCAGGGCTCTGCCCTGGACAAGCTGGGGGCCTTGGCAACCCCCAGACCCCTCGCCTAGGCTTACACATTTCTACTGGGCTAGCTACGCCCGTATATTGTTTGTAGTGTCAAAGAAAACAAAGATCATAATTTCGTCAGCACACTCCGGAGACGTTTTTAGGAACACTTTATGAAAAACTTCCACTTTTGTATTCATCTTGAAAACTAGACATTTAAATTGGGAGCCGTTTCATGACATTGTTGCCATATCCCCAAGACTTTCCAGGCAAGAATTACAATTAAAAAAAAAAACATTTCTGTTTGAAAAGGTTAATGGAAACTCTCTCATGCCGAAGTTTGTTATATACAGTATTCCTCCACAAATTAGCCCTCTTCTTAAATAGTAAGCTCAAATTAAGTTACAAATAAGCTCAAATTTAAATTGTAAACTTTAATATTAGGGGAGGGGCTTATACAAGGATAAATACAATATGTAATTTAGTGGTGTCAAACAAGAGACAAAAAGTATATAAATGAAAGCAAATGTTTTATTACAAACACACATGACAGCATCAAGGTGATATTGCTTCTTTATATTGTTCAATACCTTTTATATAAGGTTAATAATATTCAATACCTTTGTTCAATATTAAGCACTTCAACACAAGAAGGATTTCTTTTAAATAGTTACTATTTGTTCATATGTTGACAGATCTGCACAGGAGAATTCCAAAATCGATAATTTCATTTTTGTTATCAGTTAACCTATTGGATTATTTGAAAAAAAAAAAGGATTGTTTGGGGAAAAAAACACCTATCGAAAACATTTCTTTAATATTTCTTCAGACTAGTCTATTAGACATCCTTTTTGTTGATCTTAAACAGGCATTTTTTAAAACATTATTTTTACTATTTCAGATAAAAGGTAGCTTACCAAGACATGTTTTAATTTATGTTGTCTAAACCTGGAACATTTCTAGTTGTTACAGTCATAAATCTATATTTCAAGTCATTTTAAATCAGAATCTTTGACAATATCTTTATTTGGTTATATAAATTAAGAAGCATATGAGACAAACACAGGTGGGCACACAGAAAAAGAGGATGATGTAGATGACTAGTGCTAAGATCCCTTTAATGATGTCATGCCTGCTCTCATGATCTCATCCACCAATAACAGGTTGGTTGCTATCACAGTACTGCAAAACAAAATAATACCATAAAATAATAAACATCATTAATTATGATGACACATATATATGATCATTCAAAATCAAATATAACTTTTAAAGTTTGGCTGGAACTTTTTTTCTGTTGGATTTGTTTGTTTTGGTTTTGTTTTTGAGGAAGAGAGAGGAAGCCAAACCAGAGGGACCTTACTAACAACCAATGCATGTGACAATGACTTATGGGTTACATTTTTTCCTGGTCCTGGATTCCTGCTACTGTAAATCTCTGAGATTTCTCAAATTCTAGATTTCTCAAATTCATCTCTGCAGACATATTCGTGTATAAATAATTGGACGAATTACTTCAAATTCGCAAATGATGAGCTATCAGAGATAAGGACAAAGCTCTCTATGTCAGCAACCGATAGCCACCATTTTGCTTATGGAAGTCATATGACTAGGAATGTTATTGTAAATATTTTAACACCTTTCAAACTCAAACATAGCATTAGGGATTTATAATCATATCCGGTGTGGCACACCTGGTTGACCTCTAACCCAAAGCTGTACATTTAAATGAAACAATTATGTGAACTTCTACAGTCGGCAATCAGGGGATGTCGTTTAAATGTATAGAGTTCTGAAGAGGTTTGAATCTGAAAGAAATATATGCCTAGAAGATTTGTTTTTGATAAGTTATGTATAAATTAAAAATGTGTGTAAACAGAAGTAAAAGTAAGTGAACTATGGAATAACAAGAATGTCAACAAGATTTATGTACAAAAATTTGCGAGAGATTTGAATAGCATTTGAAGGACATGATAAATAAAAACTAAAGTCAAGGTGGCTGTAAATTTGCATTATAGATCATCGACTTATCTATTTTGGTTGGTAAGTACATTGTAGATGAATACAGTCGAATGAATAAAGTTTTATTTCTTCCCAATGGAAAATTTATTTACATAGGGTCAAAATTTTGGAGCTGAAATAACATTTATTAGACACAATTATTATTCCAAACAAATGCCATTTTCTAGTGCATACTAAATAATCTTCTCCCTATCTTTGAGTCACAATATTGATTTTGAGATAAATAAAATGAAGAGGTAAATGTTTTAAATCTCACCAGGAGTGTAGGAGCTGTTTCTTTACTCTGTAGTTGTCGACAATACCAGAGTCCATTGGTATCAAGGCTTCACCTACAAATAATGAAAACACCAATATCATGTAAATTATACAAATAAAAATCTCAATATTGGACTGCTGAAAATTTCTCAAATTCTAATTCAAGCCTCCAAATTTTTATAATAGGAATTCTGCTTGTGAACAATTCCCGTTTCAAAAATAGAAAAATTACATTAAAGATGGTGCACATTTATCATTAATACCTGTTTTAATGGACGTTTAATAGCTTCAATATATCATTTATACCTGTTTTTATGTCCAGTCCTACAGCCTGACTTGGGTCAGTATATTCCTCCTGAAGTTTAACAATAGACTCCTGAGGGTCAAGGCCTGAGTTGACTGCCAAGACTTTTACAATGATCAGAAGAGCATCAGCAAAGGCTTGAACACCTGTTAAAAAACAATGTATTGCAGATTAAAAGCATATTCACTTTTATAAAAAAATTATCTGAAAGAAAAAATTTAACTTTGGAGTAAATATACACAAGAGGGAAGGGAGGGAGTTTGAGATCTTCCCTTTCATTATCCATAATATTATCAAGTTTTCAAACTTCCACATATCTTAATCTTGAATAGCAATAACATTGTATACTAAATATGAAGTGCACAGAAATGATCAAATATGACAGAACATGACCCATCATTATTTAAATCCACTTAAGAATAAGTTCGGCCTTATTTGGCTTAAATAAGCTGAAAATGATTTATTATTGAAGATTCATCTTACTAGCAGGTGACACTGGACTGAAGAGTAAGTGAAACTGATCATTACATATTTTATTTTAGGTATTCATGATTGCCATATGACCACTGGACTATCTGACCTTCAGACATTTGCATGTAGTTTAAATGAACTTAAACACTAGATGTAACAAATAATCGAATATCCTTGACTTTTGATAATCATGACTGCTAGTAGTTATGTAATACCTAAACGAGCTCGTCCCTTCACTTCACTCTTGTACTTCATCAATTCCTGGTAAGCTGCAATCTCAAAGGCTCCTGCTCCTGGGATTACACAAGCTGTTAACATAGAAACACAATCAATGTAGTAACATCAGAAGCACTGACAACCTATTGCTGTATAGTACATCATGCAACATGATTATGAGACTTCAGGCTTACTAGTCTTGCACTCTACCGATCAAGCTAAACAGAAGACCTCTTTTGCTTAGAAGCTCAAAATTTCTCTGGATGTATTACGAAAAAGATACATCTTGAAAATTTCTGTTATGTCAAACATAACTAACCATCCTCAATGGCATTTTTGACAGCCCGGAGCCCGTCTCTGACAGCATCCTTGATCTGGGTCAAAGTGTGTTTATTAGGTCCTTTAAGGACCAAAGTCACAGAAGACGGATTCTTGCACTCTTCAACAAAGGTGTATTTGTCTTCTCCCTGTAATAGCAATCAACTAAGTTAACAAATACTTCAAAAGCAATGGAAGGACACACAATTCTGTGGAAATATCAGCAGCAACAGACATTCTGGTAGAAAAAATACTGTTTTACTCCACCTTTATGTACAGTTTTGTTCTTACTTGGTTTTACTGAGACAGTTTGGTAGCTCAGACAACTGGACTTGTATGCAGCAATGGAGACATGATCTCAGCTTTATATATGACATCTATTCAAGTAAGATTAACTGTACTCAGACCCTACATCATCGAATCAGGTGTCAGAGTTGGAGGAGACTCTGAAAACCAGTGTGATCTTGCCCCACATCAAATACCTGGTCAGGTGTCAGATTTGAAGGAAACTGATTGGAAATTTAGTGTGCTTTTGCCTTACATCAAAAACCTGGTCACAAGTCACAGGTGGAGATAACTCTGAGTGGAAAATCGGAGTTCTCTGGCCAAACATCAACCACCTGATCATGTGTCAAAGCTAGAAGAAATTTGAGGAAAACCAGTTTGTCCTGGTCCTATATCAAACACTGATCTGGTGTCAGAGTTAGAGAAAAGTCTGAAAGCTACAAAGAAATTTCTCTGATTCTCCATTATCAAGTTTAATGCATTGGTATCACACAGGGTTCTCACACCCCATTTTGGGACTGGGGCCCGGGGCCCTTAGAATTGGGAAAAATAATGGTGTTTTCCTTAGAATTGGGAAAACTTAGGGTCTAAATTGGGAAAAAAGATACTATTTTGCATTGGGAATGGGGCCGAATATTGGCCTCAAATCTGGCAGATCAAGAGCCCTGTCACATCATGTGAAGCTTGAAAACATTGCACTTACCAAGACTTGTTCATAAACAAGACCAGCGTATCCAAGACAATCTGGTGTTAAGTCATCCACAGAGTTCATAGCAATACCTCCACAGGCCAGGGAAAGTCTGTTCCAATATGAATGTGTAAAAATCAGTGTGTTCGGAGAATGTTTGAAGCTTTTACTCAGAATTACAGCTATCCATCAAATATGATATACTGCACACATATCTACATACCTTCGTCAATCATTGATATATTATTGCAAAATGCAATGTAACAAGGTGAACTTTAACTTCAGTTTATTTCATTAAAACATTTTTTAAACAAAATTTTACAGAAAAAACGTAATTTGTAGTGTGATCAGCTTAAATCAAATTCCAGATTGTCTTTCATTTTAGCATGTCTCTGTGTTACACTTTGGTCTAAATAGAAAACGAGTATGGATAAAAATGTTAAATCTCTGAGTATTATTCTGTCTAGTTGTAATGAGATTTTACTTTCTTTCAAAAAATACATTTAGATCTTCTTGATCCCAAAATGGAACTTTTACCATATGAGCATCTTCATAGTGGTCGTTCTAAATATTTAGAAACCTCACCGTTCCATGTTCCTCCTCTTCGCTCGCCTCAGTCCGACAATTCCTTCCTTAGCCATCATGTCCAATGACAAGGGATCAATACCCTGGAAGCAGTCCAAGAATTCAATTACTGTTCAAATAATGGAAACCAACTTTCTTCTTGTTAACTAACTTGAACAATTTCCACATTGTCTCTACTATGTTAAACTAGTTGTTATCGCATCTGCTTTCATTTGCAGCAATTTTCTATAATCATTTTTTAATTGCATAATTCATGAAAATAAATTTGCAAATGTTGGGTTAACAGTATATGTAAACAATTAGCAAGATGAGTGTTATGATCAAATGCTAGCTGTGTTTCTTTTCATCTTAGAAAAAATGTTATTAATTTTTAGAAATAACAAACAAATAAAAAATGTACACACCTTCTGGTTGATTACGATGAATCCACAGTTGTTTTCTGCACAGACCTGTTTTTTCAGAGCAATGATCTTGCGGACTCTCTCATCAATGAACTCCCTCTCAGCTTTTACCAATTTCTCACGTTCTTCAGCAGTTTTGTAGAAGAATGTTGAGTTGACTTCACTGGAGACAAAAAAGAGTTGTCACTAACTGTGTAGAACATCACCAGAAGCCACAGTAAAATGTCAAAATCCAAAATTTTAAAGTAACTTCCAAATATTTTATCAAAAAGTGGCAATAAATAGGCTGAAAAAAAGTCTCTAAAATGGAAAATGTGTCAGAATGATAAATGGATGTGATTTAATTCTAACATATTTTGTCCCCCTAATCATGATGGAGACATTAGTAAAACATTTTGTCCTTGACAGCAGATCTTCCACTTTCATATTTCCTTCATAACTTACGTTTTTTCATACTCCAATGACACATTACAGGTGAGGATGAAGCAATCCTCGGAGCGTTTCTTCATGTCTGGATGTCGAGCACCGTGGTCCATTACAATACCTCTCACCAACCTGAAGATCCAATCACACAAATTTTCACACTTATCTAATTTAAAAAATAACATCTTATATGGGATTCAATTTTGAAATTCACTTAAAAGGTGAGTACTGCATTGTTTACATACATTTAAACACTTTTGATGACTTAACTTCTTCAATGATTCTTTTTGGAACAACATTCTTGTTTGTAGTTAGGAGACATTTAAATGTTATGCCAAAGCAAATCAAAAACAAATCTGACATTTTCTTTATCTGTTTTTGATTTTTAAATCAGAAATAAAGATGCCTTACGTGGTGTCCATGTCGGTCTTATGTTGCATCTCCATGATCTCAACCATGTGGAGGTCGATGGCTTGGTTGGGTTTCTGGATAGCCAGAACAGCATCCACAACATGCTGCAATCATCAAAAATAATATATTGTTAAAGCTGAAGTGAGAGGTTGGTATAACATGTTTGATTACTGACAGAAGTAGGTCTGTTGGATACAAATCCACATGGAATCTTTATCTTGCAATAAGCCCTATCACCACATCAGAGTGTCATTTCGACAGTTATTTTTTCAAACTACCAATAATAAAAGACCCAAGGGTCTTAACAGTCACCTAAATCACAATGCCACTTCTAACATGTCATAGACATGATTTCATTATAAAAACGTAATATAACTTAAACCATATTGTACACATAATGCAAATGTAAATTGTTCATACATTAACTACTGTCCCATGCTAAGGCTTCTAACCAAGTTTGAATTAAAACAAATTAATGATGCAAGACAAAAGGGGATTGCAATACGTGACCTAATAATGAAACTTTGATCTTCAATTGAATTAAATTTCAGTCAGTGGTGTACATTCAACAACCATGATGCTAGAGGTGCCTCAAATGTATCAAAAACGAACAGTATTTTGATATCAAACTTGCAATGCTGAGGACAATTCAACCTTTGTCATTAAGATATAAAACAAATTTTGATCAATGGCATTATTTTATTTAATCAAGGATTCAAGGTCATTTATAATGATTTATTCATCAGATATATAATGGCTAATGTGCATTTCTGCACAGAGCAGATAACTGACTGTGAAACAAACATGGTTTCCTAGAAAACAGCATCATGGCACATGAACATGTCATAGTCAGCAACGCTAGTACAATATGGAAGGCTGTTTTATTCTCTATCCTGTATAAATCTGCGGTTATTGTTTTGAACAGTCAATTATCTTATAAGTTAAACAGTATTAAACTTTAGAGAATTTATTTTTGTTGGATTCAAAAATTGTCATTAAAAAGTCTGATAAGAACTTTTGTCTTCACAATTTTAACAGATATTAAAACTGATTAAATTTAGAACAATTTTTCATAGACAACGACATGACCAAACAATTCTCCCAGTTTAGAATCATCAGGAAATTGTTCAGTAAATCCAACCTTTGTGCTCTCCTTAATCAAAAGGCCATAATGATCACAATACAAGCCAAACCTACCTCTGTTAGGAGGTCAGCAAGGTCATTATACACCTTGGTACGGAGTGAAGTCCGTGCTACCTGTATCAGCATATCACGATCAACTTCCCGTTTAACCTTCACGTCATCTAGGACCTGAAACCATAACATAAGTAAATCACTTTTTACTAGTGTCTTTTCTGATGAATTTCTTAAAGAAATAGACAACTTAAAGAACAATTTATCCACTTAATTTCCAATTGAAATAATTCTTTTATTGTTCTGTATACAAACCTTAAGAGCCTTATCTCTTGCCAATTCAAATCCTTCTGCAATAATCCTTGGGTGGAGTCCCTAGAAAATACAAAAAAAAAAAAGTTTTCATTAGTAATCTTAATTCTTGTTCTTCTGCTTTGTTTATTCTGATACTATACAAAAACTCTTGAACTTCTTTATGTGCAATGTTATCTAAATAAAATCAACAAATATTCAACTTGGTTTGTATAATTCCAAGGAATTAATAGTTTGATTCAACTTGTTTAGCATATTATTTACAAGGAGATCTCTACAGAAATAGTAATATATAGTATAAATTACATAAGCTGCAACTTTGAGGAAATTGTGACTGATCACAATGAATTGTTCTATAGGAGATGCCTTTAGCCTTTCAGATCAAAATAGGAATGAATCTGAGCATAACAGTTCAATGTGACAGACCATAAATTTGAACATTGGGAAATGATTAGCAATAAAAGACATGATTATCCTTCTACAGAGGGTATGATGTTGGCACACCAACATTATAATGAGTGAAAGTTATTAGACAGTAACTATTTCTATCGTTTTCCCCATCATTGTCATGTCACCTCTACACCTACATGTATGTAATTAATGAACCTTTGCAAAACTGTTGCTCACTAAAATAACTTATCTACAGAAACAATTGAAAACAAGACTAATGTTCATATCCAAATCTAGACCAGTCATGAATGCTGAACTAGCATGTACCTCAGACACATAGAGATCTGCCTGTTTCAACAATTCTCCGATGATCAGAACATTGGATGTTGTTCCATCACCAGTAATATCATCCTGAGCAGTGGCCACACGAGCGATCAGGGAAGCTGTTGGATGCTGGATTTGCTGCAAAAAAGAACCAAACAGTAAGAAATAATGATATACATAAGAATTCATAATTAACACCTAACGCCTGGATTCAAAAATTTGGAGAGCACACTTTTTTTATCCAGAATGGAATCCCAAACAAGAGCTTATTGGCATAATGTACAGTTTTAAGTTGACCTTCCTTTTATTTGTTTTTCAAAGTTCCTTTATAACTTAAGAAATAATTTGATGGTACAATATATGTTTTGGTGGCATTACCATTTTTCTGACAAAGGAAAATTTTCTAAATAAATATCAACCGGAAAACGTTCTATCATCAGCAATAGTTTAAGAACCTTTTCTGGTCTCAAAAGATGTCATTATTTGGTATTGTCTAATGCTTGTGAGGGCTAGCTTACTAACTTGTACTACTTGACTTAAAAGATTAATGAAATTCAGTCTACTTAACTTATTGTGATACCTCAAAGCATTTAATACAGTATATATTGCTGATAGGGAAACAAAGTTATAAAATCTGATCCATCACCTTTGTAGTCAAATTACTATGTTGATAATACATTTTTTATCCAACTGGTTTATCATGTACAATTGTCAACTTCACGAACATGATTTAACAACAAAATAACCAATTGAAAGTATTCTACTTCAGTTTTGTGACTCAACAACTTAATTTGTTTCATCAAATTTAGAACTGTGATCCACTATTAATATTAAGTGATATTTTTACCATTTCATGGAGAAGAACATTTCCATCCTTGGTTAGTTTGATATCACCAGATCCAGAAACCAACCTGAAAATCAATCAAGATGTTAAAGCACAACTTCAGTTCATGTTATTAAGCATTAAACAGTTATTTGGACCAGGTGAGCTTATCATGACAGTATAAAATGCACAATTCTGATTCTGCCTGATAATGACATGAAAAAATGTCCGTCGTCAAATCAAGGAACTCCGATTTCCTAAAAAAGAAACTTAATAACACAGATTGCATACATTCAATCCAGACCAAAAGGATCTACTTATCAATGTAAACTGATAGTTTATTTCATGATTGTTAAAAAATGAATAACGTTAAATATAAAAATCAGGGTTTTCCATAATTTTGTTAGTAGTAGGCTGTGTAGTGAAAGTAGGAGGCTGGCCTGCCGTGTACGTGTAGTCGTGTACAGAACATTATAATGGAACTGGATTGGTGTAGGCGGCCAAATGATCAAAGTAGCCGGTCAAATTGGCCGGCGACCGCCTCTTATGGAAAACCCTGAAAATATTGATATTTTCAAAATATTTTCGTTTTTTTTTTGTAAGTCATTATCTACATGTACATCAGTATCACACGTAGTGATGGACAGCGTTGATGAAACATACGGAATTTATCATTACAACGCCATGGTGATTATTAGGGTGTCTGTTGTTCAGGAGTTTTCGGTCCAAGCATGCAAGAAATTGATAATTGGTTCCGAGCTCGTAAGATTATCTAGTTTGTACACGAATGAAAACTATACTATGTGTATATGAATAACGCTTACAATATTTTTTTCCGTTGTAATATTTCATTATATCAGATTCGAGACAGTTCTGTTCCGACATGTCGAACGTTGAGAAGCATGATACCCACGTGTTCCAGAAACTTCTGTGCAAGGCATGTCAGTTAGATTTGTTTTCCCGTCATACTTACATTTTGAGTGTTCCTTTCGGACCGAGATTCGTTTTAAGCACATCTTGAAGCCCCTTTGCGGCACTAATGTTTACTGCTAAGGCCTGAGCAGCCCTAGCAACTTCAGCTTTTGGATTCAGTGACTTAATGGCAGACATGTTTATTCGGAATGCCGAAATCTCGTTGTTAAACCGGAAGTGTGCGAGATGTGGTCAATAGGGACCAGTAATTATTTTTCTGTGTAACTCTGCGAAAAATCGCCGCTCACTAAAATTAAAGATTTTATTTTTGTTTTCTTCCTTGTTGTAATTTTATACCAAACCGCGTACCAAGGAAATTATAAAATTTCCTACAATGATTGAAACTAGTATTATTAATAAAAATAAATCACTTTACTATTACGAAAAAAAAAAAAACTATCGGGAGTGCACACATGAGACTATTTATAAAGCCCAGGTGTCTAGTCCATTTAGTAAGGGTTAACAAAGAATGTTAAGGGGGCACGATTTTAACTTATCCATTACAGCATTCGTGACATCATTTCACCGGCCATAATCAGTTGTTCTATTCTGGAAAACATTTAGTTGATCAAATAATTTCGTTCTTATTTAGTGAATATACCGATGTAATGTTATGGCATATTACATAAGTGTAATTCTTAGTCCATTATGACGCCAGGTCTAGATGATGAAATGCAGTTTGTATTGTGACGAAAAAAAAAGGAAATATTTTATGTTATCTTCTTGACCATATTTAATACTAGCATACTGCTCAATATGTCATCAAGAATAAAAATGCCAATTATTATCATCATTATTATTGAGAACACAGAAATAGACCTAACGCGAGGCTACCCAAAATGGAACACTTTTCAAATATTTGATACAGATTTTTTATTTTTGCAATACAATGTGAATATTAACTATTCATGAATAATAAAAGGAAAATTGTATCAGAAATGAGTGGGGTTATGATAGTTTTTTTTCGGTTCTTTTTCATCTAATTCACGTGGGGTCGCAATTTTTTTAAATAACAATTTCGAAAGCAAAGTTTACAAAGAAAAGCGTGATTCAAATGGAAATTTAATTACTATTTATGGACCAAATCACGATAATCCTGATTTTTATAATCAAGTCTCAGATGCCATAGACAGTTTCAGAAATGAAAAAGTAATAGTTTGTGGTGATTTCAATTTGGTATTGAGTCCAGATTTAGACTACGATAATACATATAGAAATATAAACAATGCAGCTGCTAGGGATAGTGTTTTAGAAATTAAAGATACATATAATCTTATTGATATTTATACAGAACTACACCCAGATACCAAAAGATATACATGGAGAAGAAATAATTCTGTAAAACAGGCCAGACTGGACTTCTTCCTTGTTTCAGAGTGTCTGTTATCTAGTGTTAAAAAATCAATTATTGAATCTAGTTATAGATCTGACCATTCAGCTACAGTTACAGCTTTACAGTTAAATGAATTTCAAAGAGGGAGGGGTCTATGGAAACTTAATAATTCTTTGTTGTGTGATCCTGAATATTTAGATGTAGTCAAAAAATGTATAGAGAATGTTAAGTCACAATATTGTTTGCCTGTCTATAATATTAGTGCTATTACAGATATTCCTGATAGTGAGATTCAGTTTCTGATTAATGATCAATTGTTTTGGGAAACTTTATTAATGAAAATTAGGGGCAAATCAATATCTTATGCTTCATATAAAAAAGACAACAGAATAGCCAAGAGGAATATTTAAAGAAGTTGATAGAAAGTCTAGAAGCTAGCTTAAACCCAGACCAGGAAGAATTAGATAATAGAAAACAAGACATATCGTGAAATATTAACACTCCCGCGAACTTGAAGCGGTATTGAGTTGTCGTTCTTGACTACAACGCTAAGCATGATAGGAGCCCGTCGCCCGGACGGAGACAAAGTTTCATGTTATTCCTAAGTTCTTTCTCGTTTATTGTGAAGTAAGTGTACTGTTTTTATATCAAGAAATTATTCAAAACTCATATGCGCTCATATTTTAGCATGTGAATGTAACAGAGGTCATTTTTTATCTAAATGCCTCCGCTAGCCCCGTCGCCCGGACGGAACCAATCGACAAAGTTTCATGTTATTCCTAAGTTCTTTCTCGTTTATTGTGAAGTAAGTGTACTGTTTTTATATCAAGAAATTATTCAAAACTCATATGCGCTCATATTTTAGCATGCAAAGCTCTGGATTTGTCGTGACAAATACCGGGTGGGGCAAAGAAATTACCAGAGGTCATTTTTTATCTAAATGCCTCCGCTAGGAATTTCCCGAACCAATCTAAATTAGATCGAAATGACGACATTTGCTTTATTCAAGCGACTTCATTGGTTGGTATAATAAGATGATGGATAATCGTCCTACGTCATTTTAAAAGTAATATGCGATTGGCTGAGAAAAAGAAAAGTTATAAACGCGAAACCAGGGGAACCCCTGCAAGGCGTACTCTCGGTATACAGTCACGGACTATCTCCTGACTTCACGATAACCTTTTTTGACGGTGAAATTCCGTTTGCTTTTGAATTAGAAATTTTCATGAATACTTCAACTATAATTCGCCGAAAGTAATAGAGTTAATTTTTCATCGATAGCGAACAACGGACGGAAAACTCAACAAACTCGGGCTTTCATGCACAAGAAACTGCTCACTCGCCAAGAACAGTAACTCTGTATATATCTCAAAGGACAAGTATTTCCCGCTATGACTAGAATCTTTACGATTGAGAAAGGTAAAGGGATGTTTAATCAGATCAAGAGCAAAATGGATCGAAGAAGGGGAAAAGCCTACTTCCTGTTTCTTGAATTAGGAAAATCGAAATTTCACTTCTAAAATAATTCCAAAATTACAAAAAGATAATGGTGACGTGATTACAAACCAGGGGGATATTTTAAATGAAGTTAGATTATTCTATGAAAATTTATACAGATTTAGAGAAGTTGATGCTGTCGATTTAAATTATCATCTTCAGGGTTGTGGAGTACCAAAATTAAGAGTCTAAGAATCTGGAAGGTTTGATCACTATAGAAGAGGCAGGTAAAGTTTTGAAAGATATGAACAATAATAAGAGTCCTGGATCAGACGGTTTCACCCCTGAATTTTTTAAGACCTTTTGGAAATTTATAGGAGTATTTGTTGTCCGTTCAATAAATTATAGTTTTTCTGTTGTTCAGCTTTCTATCACTCAGAGACATGGCATAATAACCTGTATTCCAAAGGGAGATAAACCACGTCATTTCTTAAAAAACTGGAGACCTATCTCTTTATTAAACATTTCCTACAAAATAGCTTTTGGAATAATTTCTCATAGGATAAAATCAATTCTAGGAAAGCTTATAAATGAGGATCAGACAAGTTTCTTATCTGGGCGCTATATTCGTACTCTTCATGACGTAATGGCGTAGGCTGAAGATTTAGATATTCCAGGAATGCTCCTTATGGTCGATTTTGAAAAAGCTTTTGATTCTTTTTCATGGGATTTTATTGATAAAGTTCTTGATTATTTCAATTTTGGGCGGGATATTAGGAAATGTATTAAAATTTTTCATATTAATATTTACTCCTCAATTAATCAAGGAGGTAATATTTCTGCTTCTGTTGACATCCATCGCGGTTGTCGTCAAGGCGACCCTATCTCCCCGTACATTTTTATTTTGTGTGTTGAAATTTTAGCAGCAAAAATCAGGACAAATAACAATATACATGGTATACAAGTTGATAATGTATCTATTCATCATATACAGTATGTAGATGACACTGGTCTTATACTTGATGGCTCAGAGAACTCACTCAAAGAATCAATTATTGAACTAACTTTTTTTGCTAGAATGTCAGGTTTACATATTAACACAAATAAAACACAGGTAATTTGGATAGCAAGCAAAAAATATAGTGATGACTCTTTCCTTCCAGAATTGAACCAATAATAGGTTTACTTTTTTCGGTATTGAATTTTCGGTCAACCTTAGTGAGATTCCTAGAATGAATTTTGACAAAAAAAATAGTTAAACTGGATTCTGGAAAGATGTTTTTTAAAAATGGGTTAGATTGAATAATTCCTTTCCTATGAGGCCAAAGTATGCCCGAGTCAATTTTAAAAACCACTTTATGGTACAATAATGACATTCAAGTGTGCAATAGATATGTCTTCTATCCAGTATGGTTTAATGCTGGTATATATACCATCAATGACCTAATTAAAAATTCTGATCATTTGACATTTTTCTCCTTTGATGAGTTTCTTCATAAATTTTTAATCAATACCAACTATTTACAGTATTATGGTCAAAAAGGTGCCAAAGACTTCTACAATGCTATTATTAAGCCAGCTCCAACCCCTCCTGGTATTCGAAAATGGAGTGATGAGTTTGACTTTGATGATCAGAATTGGAAATATATATTAATAATTCCGTTTACTATTACAAATGTTCTAAGCTACATTGGTTTCAAGTAAGGATTATACATCACATTCTGGTTACGAACTCCTTTCTTTTCAATATTAATATAATACCTAGCCCTTTATGTACACTATGTAATATGGAAAGAGAAACTATCGTTTACTGTCTATGTGAGTGCATAGAGGTACAGACTCTATTGGAGAGATTTGAATCTCTTCTTGATGTTCTTCTGATTCCTTTTTGGATAAACAAAGAAACATATTTATTTGGAATTATCCATCCTAATGCTATCACTGTAGATAACGAAATTTTAATTCTCATTAAACACTATGTTTATATGTCAAGATGTCTACAAAAATCTCTTAATTTAAATGCTCTTATAAATAAGATTAAGGATCATTTCCATGTTCAAAAGTACAACATTTCCAGCAAAAACACTATTATGAAAACAAATTTTGAGAATAATTGGAATGTATGCTAACAAGTCTGTTCCCAATGGCCATGGCCTTGACTTTACCAAACTGACTTTAAATTTATCGAATTTCCACAAAATTAGTGCTATTTTTATTTGATAATGATTATAACCCTCCCATTTCTCTCTCTCTTTCCCTCTCTCGCTCTCTCTCTCTCTCTCTCTCTCTCTCTTACTCCTCTCTCCCTCTCTCTTTTTTTGTTTAGGATGTATAATGTTTCTTTTTATATATATATAAATGTATTCATGAGTGAGTATGT